CATATAAATCAACTCGTATGCCACTAATCATGCATAACCATCAATCATATGAAAATTAATAACGTAAAACGAGGCATTTATATTAGTTTCTGGGAAAAGACATGTATATAGGTATATACGGAAAACAAAAGCCCACTCACTGGTATGTAGAAGGGTCGTAGCCCCCCTGCCTCGAATGTGCACGCTCGTCCTCGGGATACGTGTCACCTATATGCGAATTAACTATAAAAACGTTAACTTTAGAGCACATAACCGTCCATTCAAAATTACTTCTCATACATTGCTCAAAATGGACAAATGAATATACCAACGTGACCTACACAACCTCACGATCACAACCATATTTTTAAAAAAAATTTTGGACACGTCACGCGCCCCCACGCGCCTGGAATGGCACGGGTCCACGCGCCCCCCACGCGCGGCCACGTGCCGTTTGACTGACGGAATATTCCGTCTGACTGACGGAATATTCCCTAACTGACGCCGTTAGTCCTGTAGGAATATTCCGTTAAAACTTAACGGAATATTCCCCTGTCCTCTCCGGCGAGCCGCCGGCGCCTGCGCCGCCGCCGGCGCCGGAAAACTGGAAATTTTTCAAACTTCGTTTTCTCACTCGTTTTTCAACCATTTTTCACGTTCTTTATACCAAAATGAAGCTTAGGACTAGTAGAATCACGTTAGACTACTTTTAAGGCCTAAAAATCAAAGAATCTCACCTGCAACAACGATCCAAGTTCGGCCACTTTGAAACTAAGCTTTCCCGACGTCCAAATTCACCCAACGAAGCATTCCCAAGCTCCTTGAGGCCTCACTAACACAACTACAAGCTTAAAAAGTCCAAAAACATCCTAGATTAGGTTTGCATGAATAGTAACCCAAAACGGACCTTGTGAAATGGATGTGAAAACGTCGAGATTCTTACCTGAAAATGGCACCACTAGACTCCTCTCAGCTCCACGAGTTCAATGGTAGCCTTGGATCCCTCGATCTGTGACGTTTTAGGGTGTGTGTGTGTATGTCCGTACGTATAAGGTGGAGAAGGAGGGGGAGAGAGAGACACGGGAGGGAGAGAGAGTGACAGAGACAGAGACAGAGGGTGAGGGTGAGTGAGACAGTGTGTGTGTGTGTGTGTGTGTGGCCCAAGTTTTCCAACACCACACAAACAACCAAACAACATAACAAAGTAACTAGGGGTAAAATGGTAATTTCACGCGTACGGTTCCGATAACTCCGGGACGGGATGTCACAACCTACCCACCTTAATAAAATTTCGTCCCGAAATTCAAAATGACCAATTAATGCCCCTAGTAACCAAAGAACAATCTAGGATACAAATCCCTCATCCGATCTTCTGTCTCCCACGTCGCTTCCTCGACGGAATGGTTCCTCCACAAAACCTTCACTAATTTCACCGTCTTGTTCCGCAGAACCTTCTCTTTCCAATCGATGATCGTCACCGGTTCCTCGTCATACGTCAAGTCTGGGTTAATTTCCAACGGTTGAGGAGGTATCACATGGGATGGATCAGCAACATAATGTCGGAGCATAGACACGTGGAAAACGTTATGCACTCTGGCTAGCTCCGGAGGTAACTCTAACCTGTAAGCTACCTCACCAACTCGCTCCACGACCATGTATGGTCCGATGTACCGTGGACTTAATTTGCCCTTCTTCCCAAATCTCACTACACCTCTCCACGGCGAAAGCTTCAAAAATACCCAATCTCCGACTTCGTACACCCTGTCTGTAGCATGCCGATCCGCTAAACTCTTTTGTCTGTCCTGTGCCGCTTTCAAATTAGTCTTGATTACCTGGACGTTCTGGGTAGTCTCCTCAACAATCTCCGGACCTACTAAGACCCTTTCTCCGACTTCTGACCAACACAACGGTGTGCGACAAGCTCTACCATACAAAGCCTCAAATGGTGCCATGCCAATACTTGAATGAAAACTATTATTATAGGCAAATTCCATCAAATCCAACCGCTGGTGCCAAGCATCACCAAATTGTAACACCGAAGTTCGCAACATATCCTCCAAGGTCTGTATAGTCCTCTCAGACTGCCCGTCTGTCTGCGGATGATACGCCGTACTGTAGAGTAGTCTCGTACCCAAAGCTTCCTGGAAAGCCACCCAAAACTTAGATGTGAACCGTGGGTCACGATCCGAGACAATACTCACCGGAACACCATGGTACTTCACTACCTTCGAGATAAACAATTCCGCTAATCGACTTAAAGAATACCTCTCTCTCACTGGAATAAAATGTGCGGACTTAGTGAGTCGATCCACGATCACCCAAATGCCATCAAAACCGTTATGTGTACGCGGGAGCTTGTACACAAAGTCCATGGTGATATTCTCCCATTTCCACTCGGGAACGGGAAGCGGCTGTAATAATCCAAACGGCTTTTTCCTTTCCGCCTTAACCTGCTGACAAATGGCACACCTACTCACATACTCGGCTATCTCCCTTTTCATACCCGGCCAATAATAAAATGGTCGAATGGTATGGTACATTTTAGTAGCTCCTGGATGCATGGCGTAAGCCGAGATATGCGCTTCATCCAGAATTTCTTTCTTTAAATCCACAACATTCGGCACGAACATTCTTCCTTCTTGCATCAACATGCCATCCGATTCTCGTACTCTGAGGTCTCTCCTCCTACCTTGTTCTCGAGCTTGGATAAATTCTTGAGTTCGCTCATCATCTACTTGAGCCGCGAGCACCCGATCAACTAAGATGGGCCTAACCTGAAAATTAGCAAGTAAAGCCACATCTCGATCTTCCGATTCTAACCTCACTCCTGTAGCACGCAAGTCCGTCAAAAGAGGAATACGGCTTGCATACAACGCATTAATGCGGCCTTGAGACTTTCGACTAAGCGCATCAGCAACTACATTCGCACGACCAGGGTGATAATCAATCGTGCAGTCGTAATCGCTGAGCAACTCCAACCACCTCCGCTGACGAAGATTAAGTTCTTTTTGGGTAAAAAGGTACTGGAGACTCTTATGATCAGTAAAGATCCTACACTTTTCACCATAAAGATAGTGTCTCCACAACTTCAACGCAAAAACGATAGCGGCCAACTCCAAATCATGAGTAGGGTAATTCAACTCATGGGGTTTTAATTGACGTGAAGCATAAGCAATCACCCTACCATGCTGCATCAACACACATCCCAGACCATTCAAGGACGCATCACTATAAACCTCGAAATCACCACTATCGTCCGGGAGTGCCAGAACAGGTGCTTGAGTGAGACAACGCTTCAACTGTTGGAAACTCTGTTCACACCTATCGTCCCACTCGAATTTAACATCTTTCCTCGTAAGTCTCGTCAATGGTAAGGCGATCACCGAGAAATCTTTAACAAATGTCCGATAGTATCCCGCCAAGCCAAGGAAACTTCTCACCTCGGTGACGGTTTGCGGTTGCTCCCAATTCTCCACCGCCGCAACCTTCTGAGGATCAACCAGAACACCTTGAGCAGAGATAACATGCCCCAGAAACGCTACTTGATTTAGCCAAAACTGGCACTTGCTAAACTTAGCATATAATTGATGTTCCCTCAACCTCTTCAACACCAAGGTAAGATGTCGAACATGCTCCGCCTTCGACTTAGAATACACCAGAATATCATCGATAAAAACAATCACGAACCTATCCAAGTAAGGCTGGAAAACCCGGTTCATTAAATCCATAAAAGCTGCCGGTGCATTCGTCAACCCAAACGGCATAACTAGAAACTCGTAATGACCATAACGAGTCCTGAACGCCGTCTTAGGAACGTCATTCCTATTAATCTTCAGTTGATAGTACCCAGACCTCAAGTCAATCTTAGAGAACACACAAGCACCTCTAAGCTGATCGAATAAATCATCGATACGAGGCAACGGATAACGGTTTTTAATCGTCACCCGGTTCAATTGCCTGTAATCGGTACACAGCCTTAAAGTTCCGTCTTTCTTCCTCACAAACAATACTGGAGCGCCCCAAGGTGAAGTACTAGGCTGAATAAAACCCTTATCCACTAATTCCTGCAGCTGCACCTTTAATTCCCTTAATTCCGCAGGTGCCATACGATAAGGAGTCAAAGAAATAGGATTAGTACCTGGAAGCAACTCGATAGTGAACTCCAAATCTCGATCTGGTGGTAACCCAGGCAATTCCTCGGGAAAAACATCTGGAAAGTGTCGGACGACCCTCACGTCCTCAACACCACAAGGAGGAACCTCATCCAACACCACATGGGCTAAATACCCCTGACAACCCTTAGTCAACAACTTTTTCGCTCGTAGCGCCGAAATAACACCATGTCTCACCCCACTCTGCTCACCAACAAAGGTAACCACGGGTAGTCCAGGACGACGAAATGTAACTATCTTCCCGTAACAATCAATATTGGCACGATTGGGGTGCAACCAATCCGCGCCCAAAATCACATCAAAATCCACAATATCTAACGGAATAAGATCAGCGGGCATAACCACGCCCTCCACTATCACTGGACAACCTGGGTACACACGATCCACAATACATCTCTCCCCTCTAGGCATAGCGAACTCTAAATCATACCCTAGGGGTGTGGGGCGAGGTTGCGTCACTTGAGCAAATGTATGAGAAATCACAGAATGTGTAGCTCCACAATCAATTAAGACTCTAGCAAAATAACCAAGAATATTTAACGTACCCATAATCAGATCCGGGTTGTTCTGAGCATCATGCAGAGAAATGTTGTGTATACGCCCCTGGCCCTGCTGCCGTCCACCACGACCTCGGTTCGCCTGAGCACCACGACCCTGCGTACTACGCCCCTGACTGGGCTGACCAGTCTGTCTCGAAGACCCCGCACTACTGGTAGCAATCTCTCCTGTCTGAATCTGTCCTCCCTGATACCATTGAGAACTGCCGGCTGGAGCTGGAGGATACGGCATATAGCCGCCCGAATACTGAGGGTAACTACCCTGGGAGTAGGGGTCCTGCGGATACTGATACTATCCCGAGGCATAGGGTACAGCATCACCCTGGTAGTGGTAGGCACCACCTCGACCTGCCTGACCGTAACCACTAGGACCTTGAATCTGCTGGATAGGGGCAGGTGGGGGCAAGAAAGTCTGCTGCGGTCTCTGCTGCTGACCCTGGGGACATTGCGCCGCTCGATGCCCTATCTGCCCGCACGTGAAACAACCACTGCTACCTCGTCTACACTCGCCCGTGTGCCGATTATTACACCTTCGGCAAAGTGGGGCCCTACCTCGACCACCGTCCCCCTGTCTCTGGCCCCGAAAGCCACCAGTCCATCTACCTCCTCGTCCCTGACCCGTGGCGCTGAAACCACCACTAGAAGAACTAGAGCTGTTACCACCCCTCTTGAAGTTTTGAGTCTGACGAGGCCCGAGCGATGCCTGACCTTTACCTTTGTCGTCCTTCTTCTGATTACCACTCTTTTCATCTTCATCGCTCTCACTCGGCATATTCTCAGAGTCCTCGACTCTCAACAAAACCTCGTAGAACTCCTGGTATGTATCACAATGAGTGGAGGTTGACATCGAACGCCACTTCTTCTTAGTGCCGATGCGAAAACGGCGAAGCATCTCCGCTGGGTTACTAGCAATCTCAGGGTGGTAGCGAGACAAGTCGGTAAACTTCCGGTAATACTCATTCGCAGACATCTTCCGCTGTTTCAATTCAGTGAATTCCTGTTTCTTGCGGTCAATATACTCTGGGGGAATAAACCTCCTCTTGAACAACCTAGTAAAAACATTCCAGTCAGTCTTCTCGGCTGGAGTCAAACTACGAAGCTCCTGCTCCCACCAGGATGCAGACTCCGTACCCAGAAACCATGAAGTAGTCTCGACCCATCTCTCCACAGGGAGATTCCCCTGGTTGTTCAACACTCGGAAGGTCTTCTCAATATGCTCAAACCAACGCTCCGCGGCCTCGTGCCCCTCGTGACCGTGGAATTTATCCAATTTCAGGTTGTACATAGTTTCCAGAGGAGTCCTCTGGGGAGGGCGGATAGCTGCCTGGATAGCAGTAGCAATAGCTTCCCCCAGCTGAGTGATATCGGGGAAACTAGACTCATCTGAACGGCGTGGTTCCCGACGAGGCGGCATAATTCTGACAGAAGGCACCAAAACCATTAGAATACTCACAAAAGACACAGGACTGCCAAACCTAAGCTCTGATACCAAACTGACACACCCCAACCGAGATCGGGGTATGCTGGCCGCCACGTGGAAGTGACGTAGCCATGTGCACAGTGCGGAAGCTAGAAACAGTAATAGAAAAGTACGAATAATTTAAAACTAGCAACTAAAAAGTAGTAGGATATGTGCTAGTGCAATTAAAACACTGAATTCAGAGCCTAAGACATACAGCAGCCCAAATATAAATGTTACGACAATAGTGCGCCCGTAGGCGACCCTACATAGGTGAAGGTCTGTCAGAATGCCGGGACGTCCCTGGGGAAAACCACCGAATCCGCTAAGCTACTAGAACCTGGAGGGGCGCAAAAACAAAAGCGTGAGTGGGCAAAATAAATCTCTTAGAAAACCATTTCATAAAACATATAATAACCCCTCGCCGTAAAACCTGTATACTTCCCAGAAAATAAATATATAACGTAGGTATAAATATGCCAAGTATACTCAAGTGTATGCCAACATGCTCAAATGTATGCCGTCATGCTCAACGCCTCATAATAACATACAAGTGCTCGGGTATGTATATCACATCAATAGCATAATAATCTGGCAGCCGGAGTCCCCTAAGTGACCTGTACGGCTGAATCTAGAGCTCAGATCACGACTCAATCCCTAAAACCTGCCCACGAGTCGGAACCACCTATGGTGGTCTGTACGACAAGCCTGGGTGCAATACATATAAACGCTCTAGGGCTACGATCACGTGAAGGCTGTGCGAATAATCGCGGGTCACCTACGAGTCGGAACCACCTATAGTGGTCTGTACGACAGGACTGTGCACCTAACTTGGATTCAAGCTGAGCGTGTGGTGCGGGAGGTGAACAACACGTGAAGGACTGTGCCCTACTCTGGGCGGGAGCACTAACACCGGGGGTGCAGGTTGTGAGCTCTCTAATCACTTCGAATCACTATTTAATGCGAATGTAAACAAAACTTACCTGACACTTACCTAAGCCGCCACAGCACCAACATATATGTAAACGACGTAAGAATAAACATATAAATCAACTCGTATGCCACTAATCATGCATAACCATCAATCATATGAAAATTAATAACGTAAAACGAGGCATTTATATTAGTTTCTGGGAAAAGACATGTATATAGGTATATACGGAAAACAAAAGCCCACTCACTGGTATGTAGAAGGGTCGTAGCCCCCCTGCCTCGAATGTGCACGCTCGTCCTCGGGATACGTGTCACCTATATGCGAATTAACTATAAAAACGTTAACTTTAGAGCACATAACCGTCCATTCAAAATAACTTCTCATACATTGCTCAAAATGGACAAATGAATATACCAACGTGACCTACACAACCTCACGATCACAACCATATTTTTAAAAAAAATTTTGGACACGTCACGCGCCCCCACGCGCCTGGAATGGCACGGGTCCACGCGCCCCCCACGCGCGGCCACGTGCCGTTTGACTGACGGAATATTCCGTCTGACTGACGGAATATTCCCTAACTGACGCCGTTAGTCCTGTAGGAATATTCCGTTAAAACTTAACGGAATATTCCCCTGTCCTCTCCGGCGAGCCGGCGCCGCCTGCGCCGCCGCCGTCGCCGGAAAACTGGAAATTTTTCAAACTTCGTTTTCTCACTCGTTTTTCAACCATTTTTCACGTTCTTTATACCAAAATGAAGCTTAGGACTAGTAGAATCACGTTAGACTACTTTTAAGGCCTAAAAATCAAAGAATCTCACCTGCAACAACGATCCAAGTTCGGCCACTTTGAAACTAAGCTTTCCCGACGTCCAAATTCACCCAACGAAGCATTCCCAAGCTCCTTGAGGCCTCACTAACACAACTACAAGCTTAAAAAGTCCAAAAACATCCTAGATTAGGTTTGCATGAATAGTAACCCAAAACGGACCTTGTGAAATCGACGTGAAAACGTCGAGATTCTTACCTGAAAATGGCACCACTAGACTCCTCTTAGCTCCACGAGTTCAATGGTAGCCTTGGATCCCTCGATCTGTGACGTTTTAGGGTGTGTGTGTGTATGTCCGTACGTATAAGGTGGAGAAGGAGGGGGAGAGAGAGACACGGGAGGGAGAGAGAGTGACAGAGACAGAGACAGAGGGTGAGGGTGAGTGAGACAGTGTGTGTGTGTGTGTGTGTGTGGCCCAAGTTTTCCAACACCACACAAACAACCAAACAACATAACAAAGTAACTAGGGGTAAAATGGTAATTTCACGCGTACGGTTCCGATAACTCCGGGACGGGATGTCACATTTTATGTAAAATGTACCCATTTTTTAATGTAAAATCTATATATTTTTTGTTAAGAATGTGTACATATTTATCATAAATTGTACCCTTATTCAAATTTTTTGAACATTATGGGTACACTTGTTTGACATTTATTATTTCAAAGGTATGTTCCCTATTTTTATCTGTGACATCCCATATCGTCTAGGGGAGTGATCCTTATATGTATATATTCCCATCTCTACCTAGCACGAGACCTTTTGGAAGCTCACTAGCTTAGGGTTCCATCGGAACTCTGAAGTTAAGCGAGTAGCGCGTGAGAGCATTCCCATGATGGGTGATCCACTGGGAAGTTCTCGTGTGAGTTCCCAGAAACAAAACCGTGAGGGTGTGCTGGGGGCCCAAAGCGGACAATATCGTGCTACGGTGGAGTCGGGGCCGGGAAGTGGTCCCACCCGGGTCGGGATGTGACATTATCTATTTATTCAATCAAAATTTTTGAGTATTTTATTTTTTATTGTAATCGGTTTTAATTTATATGCCACATAATACAAGATTTTAAATCCCATAACATGTCAAGTAATTAATATCAAACATATGAGAATACATATTAATATCAATAATGAGGTGTACAAAGTCAAGGGACTTTGATAAAAAATTGTATACTTTTAAAGGTTTAGTTAAAGAATGTTAGTGGCTAGGGTTCGGATCTAAAGTCTCAATTTCGTTTATTTTTTGTGTTAAAATGAAACGAAAGTATACGATAGAAATGTGGTATGGAGATTCGGAGAAGGTGGAGGGAAGGGGAGGAAGGTTGGAGGAAGGATAGAAAAATTACTAATGTATAAAATAAAACTTGAAAGCGAAACAACTTTAATTCGTTTGGTTTTCAATTTTAAGTTGAAGTCATTCCATACACATTTCTTCTGCATCCCTCCCATTATACTTCTTCGATCATTCTTCATCTCTAGATTTTTGCATGCTTTTCCTTTTATCTCTGACAAAAAGAAAAAAAAAAAGAAAACTAAGAGCTAAACAAAATAGTTACAAAACGGGCATCTAGATTCTTTATTTTTAGTTTTGTTTTCATTCTCTAATTTCTGTTTCTAGATAATTAAATTGATCGACCGTTTAATTCATAAATTGATGGTTGTAAACTTGTTTTTGTAATTTTCGAGTTTATCGTACATATATATTCATAGGCTACAATTAATTTACATTTCAATTTTATAGTTGAACATATATGAAAAAGAAAACTACTTCATCATTATATTTTTTTTTGGGGAAAATTAGGTTCACATCCTTCTTTTTGTTACTCCATTGATTAAAATCCTATTCATTTTGAATTTTTGATCAAGGTCCTTGGGTATTAATAACATCATTAATTATTTGAATAATAAAATATTTTTATTTTTAAATATATTCCTTTAGTGTTAAAAATGTTACAATTAGTATATTTTTATTTATGGATAAATTTTTTATCATATATTTTTATTTTTAGTTTGTACCTATTTTTAATTTGCAAATATTTTTTAATTTGTACCAATTTTCTTTTCATTTTTAAGTTGTGCCCATATATTAGTTTCTTTTTGTGCCCATATTTTTTAAAGTTTTATTTGTGTTTGTACCCATGTGTATAACGTCACGTGACATTGTATATTTAATCAATGATAGAAAAATTACACATGGTATATTTATGTTTTATGCCTAAACTTTGTATCATATATTTATATTTTTAGTTTGTACCCATTTTTAATTTGCAACATTTTTTTTAATTTGTAATATTTTCTTTTTAGTTTTATTTTGTACCCATGTATTAATTTCTTTTGGAGCCTATATTTTTAAAAATTCATTTGTGCTCATAATTCCTCATAATTTTTAATCTTTTATCTGTACCCTAATTTATTTATAATGTACCCATTCTTCTTTATTAATGTACCACTTTGTTATATGTGAAATGTACCAATTTTTTTAAACACTATGGATACATTCTTTTGCCATTTATTATTTCTTATTTTTACATAGTTTTTATCCATTTTATTCAATCAAAATGTTTGAATTTTTTTATGTAACCATTTCTAATAGTATTATAATGAGGGATTTTAAATTTATAGGATTATAAATCTCATAAAATATCAAACAATTAATGTCAAAACTATAAAAATAAAAATATTAATAGTAATATAATGAGGTGTACAAAGTCAAGGGACCTTGATCGAACTTTGAATACTATTAAGGTTTTAATCAAAGAATATTAAGGATTAAGGACCGCATCCAAAGTATCCATTTTTTTGTTAGTCCCTTCAATTGAAAGATAAATTCCTAATTCCATCACCAAGTAATAATCTTGTAAATTCACACATTTAAAATTCAAATAAATCCTACACAATTAGTTGTGGTGCACAAATATTCTTAGACCTTCAGCTAGGAATTCAAATCCTCTAATGTTTACAATTGCATGACTTTGTGAAGGGAAAGAAGATGATCATGCCAAGATGTAAACATTGTGTGTACTCTTTGTTTTGTTAGGATTGTCAAATAGTTAAGTGGTTAGCATGGAGAGATTGATCAATGTGCCGAAACAAAGCTAATGCACTGATTGTAATAATACAATTGCTTTGAAACTTGAAAAATAAAAATTTCAACTACTTGTATAATGACATTTAGTGTATCGAACTGTATTTCTGGCCGCCTGAAAAATTTCTCGGTAGCATGACCTCTTGGCCTATTAGACCTACTACCAGAATCAAGTAGTTGGCACCTTGTTAGATATGCCTTCATTCATGAAATTTATGACTATGAGATGAAGTTGTTGGGGATTTCATTTATTCAAACCCATTTTTGACAAATTTAGAGCTTAAACTTAATGAATTTATAGTTCAATGATGAAAATTTTAATTATATCAACGGTCATTGACAAATGCTCTAATTTTCTTTTTTATTTATAAAATGAATAATACATTACACTAAAGTCGAATCGACCAATCCCATCAAAACTAAAATAATATTAAATTTTGCTATTTAATCCCACTAAAAACTTATTGTAAGAATATGAGTTCCCAAATAACAATGAATTAGAACCTTTGGATCAAATGACAAATTTCATATGGTATCAAAAGAAACAAAAAAGTGTAGAAAAAACAAATGTGTTGAAAAATGAAGATACCAAACAAACAACTGTTGTTGGTTTAGATGCGGCGTCCTTTTCACATTCTTTCCTATTTTTAACCACTCATTTTAATAAAGTTGTGTAAGTATAAAACATTTCAACAAATGTTGCTTCCAAACAAAAAAAAAAAAACCCATTTTAACAAATACTTTAAAATATTTTAGTACGTTAAAAGAACGATTAAATGATAATACAATTAGTTGAAAATTTTATTTTTAAAATTTCTAATCAATTGCGTTACAATTGGCATGACAGAAGGTGATTCTGACGTATTGAAAAATTTCTGAGTGAAGGTACTAAGAAAAGCACTAGACTTGGAAAAAGGACAGGCCACCTCTCTCTCTCAAAGTTTACCGCACCCTTAAGCTTCTCTCTTTCTTTCTCCCTAGATTTTGGTGAATCAGTAGAGGGAGAGAGGGAGAGAGAATCAGAGTGAAAGCCAACCCAGTTTTGTTTTTCACAATCTTGAACTAAATTTGCGGCCTTTTTTCGTTTAGATCACTGTAAAGAGAAAATGGGTGTTGCCAATCAAGAGGCTATCAAGCAGTTTCGGTTGTTAATGGAAGAAGGTGAGCTTTTTAAACCAACTTGCAAATCTGCTTAGTTCTCTCATTTCATCTCATATTTTGCTAATTTTCATATTTTTTTTGCTTTGAAATTACAGTTGACGAGCCACTGAAGAATACATTTGAGGTTGGACAATTTCTTCTTTTAATTTTCCTCGATCTGTTCTGTGTTTGGATACTGGGAAGAAAGTTTGAACAAGAAAATGATTTGGAGTTCTTAAATTTTGTTACTTTAATGATTTGCAGCATTAGAGATCAAAACCCTTTACTCAATTTACTAAATTGTGGTTTTTTTTTTTTTTTTTTTACCACATTTTAGTTATGTAGCTTACTGTTTAGTTCATAAGTCAGTTTTTTGGATGTGATCTGAGCCTCTGATGTCGTGCATTTTAGGGTTTTTGGTGTCTTTTAGGCTTGGTGAATGCATTTGTAAAATTGGGTTTTATTAAAGATGGAATCTTTATGCAAATATAGTGTCAGGTTTATGCTCTGTATTGCTGAACAACAATTTCTGCAGTATTCTGCTGGTGTCGGTACCTTACTGCAAATAATTGGTCATGATGTACTTGTTGCATTTATATTGACATTGCATCATGAAGCCCTTTGTTGTGGAAAGTATTGGTTGAGGAGGAAGGAGGAGGAGGGGAATACAGTGTTTTTACTTTCTGAATTTTTTTCGATTATTTAGCTGAAGAATGTCTTTTGTTGCATCTGAGAGACAGGCAGAGGGATCCAAACAAAAAAAAAGAAAAAAAGAAAAAAAAAAAAAAAAAAAAAAAAAGAAGATGGAGAAAATGAAAGCAGAAGAAAAATAAGAGAGATGGCATTGGCCATGCTAAACTATTTGGCAAAGTTTTGAGGAAATGTAGCATGATTTTGAGGATTATTTTCTTTTGCCTCAAATTCTTGAACTGAGTGGATAATATTGTCCTTTTCTTTTGTGGTTTATGATTTGCATAAATGAAATTTAACTCAAGATTCAATCGGTGCCTCTTGATCTACAGAATGTGCACCAAGGGTATCCAAATGAGACATTAATGCGTTTTCTTAAAGCTCGGGACATGAATGTTGGAAAAGCCCATAAAATGGTTAGATTCATTCAGTTTACTAAATATAGTTATACTGTTTCAGGTTTTATGATATCAAGCTGTTCATCTTTTGCTTATAATGCTTTCCTAATAATGCCTAAACTGTTCCAGTTGCTTGATTGTTTACAATGGAGGATGGACAGCGAAATTGACAATATATTGGCGGTGAGTTTTCTCAACGAGAAATTAATAAATAAACATGATATCTTGTGACCGATCACATGTAATTCTCGATGCTTGTCTGTTTAATATGTTGTGTTAGGCAAAGCAAAATGTTTAGTGAAAGGATGCATATAGAATTTTTTTTAATTCAAATATCTAAAACTAAGTGCTAATAAAACCTTGATTAATTTATTATTTCCTAAAAAGTTCTGAATTTAAACTTGGAAGGTTTTAATGGAAACAACTGAAAAGAGGGATTGCTGAAAACTGTTAGTGTTCCTTTTATAATAGTAGAGATGTCCGCAGCTGACTGCCTTGAAGTACAGGGGAAGAAAATAGTCCCATTTTCATGGTGTTAGATTATTCTAAATTCTGTTCCAACTTCCAATAGCATATATCTATTTTTTCTTTTTCTTTCTATTAACCTCGAAGCATATATCTACTGCAATGTTGGATCTCAACATTTCGATTTGCAAGGTAATAGCTTTTGTGGCAAATCTGATTCATATGCTAATTATTGACATACAAGTGGAAGCATGAAAACGAGGTGTAATAACATTGAAGTATCGTTGAAATTTTTTCTGCTGTCCTGCCATTAACTCCAAAGAGCTCTTATTCCTGACCAATCATTATTTCTCGGCAGAGTGGCACTTCTAGGTTAAGGCGTTCATTACAAAGAATTTTAGCATTTGCTAGTAGGGAAAGTGCACCCCACGTAGACACAAAATTAATGGAGATTTGAAATAGATGTTGAAGTTGTTTTAGTTCCGTTCTCCCTCTTGATATTCATGTTTTTCTGGTTTAATAAGTGGAGATGTTTGATACGTGAACCATGTTGGAAAAGCGGATATAATGAGGTGACAAAGCATTTATTTTCTGTATGCAGAAACCAATCATCCCAACTGATTTGTACAGAGCAGTGCGAGATTCTCAGCTTGTGGGGTTGTCAGGTTACTCAAAAGAGGTAGTCTTGAATCTTTCTTATTTCGACTGCAAAACATGATTAACTTTTGCTTCCTCATGCTCCTTTATTTTTAATTTCAAACTTACCATTAAATCTCATTGCCATATTGATTTCTTTTTCCAGGGTCATCCTGTCATTGCTGTTGGTGTCGGGCAAAGCACATTTGACAAAGCTTCTGTAAGGATGATATTATTTGTTCTGTTTAATCTTCTTCGGCATAGATAACTTTATATTTCTGGTTTTAATATGTAATGATGGAAACCATGAACAAGAAATCATATAAGTTTATGTTCGGCTTTAAGCTGTGGGCCATATCCGAGCTTACTTAGCTTACTTACACATTAGAAATGCATAATACTTCTGAGTCGTCTGATGTGAGAGAGGGCACTAGAATTTATGGGCATAATGCTCTATATTTAGCTGGTACTGAGGTTTCCAATGCTAAGAAAATGAGTCATTTAAGTATACCATGGAGTTTTGAGATGATATAACATTGGTTGTGCATTTAACATGCATATACGGAGATTCATATACTTTCTAAAATACTGAGCTTTATGTACCGATGTGTATTTTCTTAAAACATAGAGTTAGGTGCATGTTTGTACGACATTATACTATATTTTATTCTCGCAGTAATATTTACTGCTTTGATTCACTGTCATTGTAGGTAAATTACTATGTCCAGTCTCACATCCAAATGAATGAGTACAGAGATCGTGTGGTGTTGGTGAGTGCTTGAGAATGTTTAATTTCATCTTTCTAACGGGTAATTCTATTAGGAGCCTTATTTTTCCCGCCTTCTGTTGTAGCCTTCTGCAACAAAGAAGTATGGACAATATATTGGGACGTGTGTGAAGGTTTTGGATATGACTGGTTTAAGGCTCTCAGCACTTAACCAGATAAAGGTATCTCTTGCTATTAGCACGAGCCTCTGTTTGTTTGCCTTTTATTTTTTTATTTTACGTATTTTGAAGAATATCCATATTCGCACATAATTAGCTCGACTTGTTTAGTTCTTTTTCTGAGGACCCATGAGATTGATACTTGGTATGATCTGTTGATGCAGCTATTGACTGTTATCTCTACAATAGATGACTTAAACTATCCAGAGAAGACGGATACATACTATATTGTCAATGTCCCATACATATTTTCGGCATGTTGGAAGGTTTGTGTCATAACAACTCGCACTTTGAAATTATGCATCAGAAAACAGGGGAAAAGTATTTGGTGGGTATTCGATCTTGAGACAGAAGTCCTAATGTGAACTCTTGACAGGTGGTAAAGCCTCTTTTGCAAGAAAGAACAAGGAAGAAAATCCAGGTTCTTCAAGGTTGTGGCAGAGACGAATTACTGAAAGTAAGCATGTTCTTATAACTTATTTTAGTCTTGTTTCCTACGTAATTTTTGCCAAGTTTCGAACTCCCTTCAACTATAGGTCAAAAATTTCGTTCTTTGCCGGCTGCATTTGTTCATCTGTGTTTTGCTCATCTGTGTTATGCAGATCATGGATTATGCATCCCTCCCACATTTTTGTAGAAAAGAGGGATCCGGGTCATCTCGGCATTCTGACAACGGACGCACTAACAATTGTTTCTCCTTGGACCATCCATTCCATCAAGAGCTCTACAATTTCGTCAAGCAACAAGCCGTCTTGAGGGAGTCCATTGCACCAATCAAGCAGGGATCCTTCCATGTTAATTTCCCGGAAGCTGCCCCAGAAGGCGCCGAGATTGCAAGGAAAATAGAATCTGAGTTCCACAAGTTCGGAAATCAAAATCAAAATGGTCTCACCAAGTCACTAAGTGGCCTAAGAGTTCATGGTGCCTGAAAATTTTATAGCAATTTATTAGCATCTGATCCTTCTACATGCCAATGTACCCGACACTCTTCCATTGCCATGATGCAGGAATGAATGTTCTGAAATTAATTTCTATGTATTAGTGTAATCCTTGCATCAGCTCGATGCAGGTTTTTTATTACAAGTTAATAGATTGTATGACGGTTTTTGTAGAACTTTGCAAAGCCGATTAAAACCCGAGTTTTAGTAGTAGATCCTATGACGGGTTACGAAAATGTGTTACAGTATTTTGTTTTTACTATTACACAAGGTGATTTGTTACCTACCTGTTGGGAGCGGGGCATATCCTACTAAGTTGAGAGCTTAGGACGTGCTTAATTTAACCTCAAAATGAGGTGACAATGAAATACTCACCCACTTGATTCATCCATCATATAACCAATTACTTTAACGTATTGCTTAATTACAAGTTTACGCTACAAAATTTGGCGTTATAGTAATGACTAGAATGCTGTAAAAATAGGTTTTACGAATATGCGATTGTTGAATTTGCGCAAGATCGTAACGAACAAATATTTTGCATTAACTAGGAGGCTTATGGTCCGACCAAAATGCACGAAAATACGTTTTGTGATGGTTTTAACATAATTTTGGTAACAATTTAAAAACCGTGACAAATTGTCCATATTTTTTGTGAAAAATGCAATTCTTGAGTTTTCCCAATATAATTTACGTGAGCAGCAAGGGAAATGTTAACGCATATTTTTGTGTCATTAACGTATTCTTTTTGTGAAATGAAGGCCTACATACATTTCGGTTAGGAGATGCGATTACGAGACAGGTTCAGGGCAGAAAGGGTAGAGGCAAACCTAGGAAGACTTGAAAAGACTTGGAGTACTTGAATCTAACGGAACACGTGACACAAAACCAAGTGCAATGACGTTCTAGGATTCATAGAGCCAACCACACTTAGTGGAATAAGACTTTGTTGTTGTTTGTTGTAACGTATTTTTTGTTGAATTCTTAAACTAGAAATTAAAAAACTCAATAATAAGTAGTGAAAATGCTTTGCTTCCAATTAAGATAGATGGGCATCCAAAATATACCGAAAGTGTTGATATATATATGCACAAGTACAAATTATATCCAAACCAAAGATAATTCAAGTATCCTGCCTGCGCGTTCTTATACATATGCACAAACGTATCCAAACCCTTTCGCTTTCTGTAAGCACATCACAGATCATTCGGTAAGGGCATCACGGTTAGAACTGGAAGCGAAAACTAACGTTTCGAAGAAAAGAGGGGTTGACAATAACCTGTAACGTGATCAAACAACACTGATTGGATCCGCGGTTTCAGCTCAACTGTTTGTAGCACTTGTAAGCAACGGCAACTGACACTGCGGCACAAACAACAGCTAAAACTGCAAACGTATCTTCATGCTCCCAGCTCTGAAACCACGTTGGCATTGCACAAACCTTGCGCGTGGATGCCCCTTTGCCACTATTCTTTCGTGAAAGTAGTTTCCTGCTGCTTTTTTTCTTTTCAGCTGTTGCCTTCGCTGCAATCTCATTCAAGTCAGGACTATCTATCATAGCATTCTGACAGCAAGACTTTCCATTTTCCTGGCAAAAGCCCCCGTTCTCAACTTGAGATCTACAGACAATAGCATTCCCCCTATCCTTTGGTTGTGTCAACTCTGTAGTGGTTTTTCCCACATTTCTCTCACCGTTAAGCTGGAGCCTTCGTTCTTGAGATTCCTTCTGCTGTTCTTCCGATAAACCCATCTGACCCCTGAAATCAAACCATAGATTCCATCAGTAATCACAGTTACAGAATGCATGCACACACTAGGAACAATTAATCTCAAACAACTTCTAGAAAATAATCTACTTCTAATTTTGCACGGGTTGAACTTGAACCAACTATTTCGTCTATATTTTCAACTTCCTGCGCCAATCAGAATAAATTTGCATAGCCAACCACTCTGACTGCTGGCAAAAGAGGGCCTTCCTCTAAGACCAATTTACAGCTAAACAGTGTTTCACTGATAGAGCAAGCATAGATATGTGAAAATTGCTTCAAAAGCCAGCCTATGAATTAATTTAAACGGATTACCTCCATAGCCAGTCTACAATTTCTCCTTTCCCAACATGCTGTTCAAGCAATACAGTTACGTCTTCTGGAGCAACATATCCATACCTATCAGAAATACAATCAGATTGCCAATATCATTAACCAAGTAAAAGAATCGGAAAAGAGTGAAAAGATATACCTTGTAGCAATAATAACAGAAAAAAGTGCTAAAACTAATACAAATGAAGAGAATAACAAATCTCCTTACCAGTGGCCAGAGACTTCTCTGTTGCAATTTGATCCATATATGATAACATTTCCAGCATACTTATGCCCCCCAATGTGTGAACATGGACTAACGGACACTTTACCTTGAAGACCATGCAATTCTATCTCTTCTCTGAATCTAGTGACCAATGGAGGGCCACAGACTCCACAACGGCGATCCCGGGACCCATGAGAACATGCAAAAACATATGAACCCTTCAGAGTTTCAGGAGTTCCAGGTTGCCATTCACCATCCTTCACAAGAACTTCTTCAACGAATGTATCAACATCAAAATGTGTCAATCTCCTGCATTTCATCGTTCGGTTTATGTTAGTATCAAATTTTAAGGGGAATCAAGAAAGTATCGAAAGGAAATCCCAATGGAACTTGTAGCTTACCTGTATCGGATCATGTCGGGGAAAATTAATACATCGCCATTTGATGTTTCAGTTCCATCATGCCCTTCACATATTGTTAAGCGGGTCTAGAAGAGGAAAGACACAAAAGAGTTATTACATCCACTTACCAAAAAAGCTAATACATCCAACTGCTAACAATGAACGGTAAACAACCACCCCCCAAGGAAACACCAATATCACATTTCCCTGCCTACGTAACTTATCTGCAAGTGGATACTCATTTCATCCCATTCATTGTGAAAATTGCGTAGAGAATAGTTGTGTAGCAGAAATAGCATGAAAAATAAATAATTTCCACCACACGATTCCCATAATCATCATATGTAAATATGATTGTCATGTTATATGTCAAATCATTCGATACCATAGAACTTTGTTATAGACACAATCTCCAGCTTCTCATATTATGTTGTACAATGCCAAGAGCTTAATCAGTTTAGTTTATTTCTGAAATCATATTGTTCACATTATTCCACGCTCCCAAACTAAATCCTGCACCCACAAGTACACAGCAAATACCCCATCAATCAACCTCAAGTTTAGCCATATCCCAACCCCTTTAACACTACCCAATTTAGAATTCTCTGAATTCTACACCATGGGATTCCGAAATTACTCCAAAAGGACACCAAAAACAAACCCACTGAACAACACTAAAAGCAAAAGTTACCCCTTCCTGTTCAAGCTAGACCCTAAATCACATGCTTCCAAATCAAAACTTAGATTACAAGCAAACCTAACATGCAGCCAAGATCCATTTCCATTTGCCACATTCAAAAGCAACCCGCATTAAACCCGAAAGCGGAAACCTACCAAATCATACAGAAATAAAACACAAGCAATCCACTTGGAGTGATCAGAATTCGTATTCAACCCACTAAAAGCTCGTTTGGATGTGCTTTTAAAATGACTGAAAGTGCTTTTGGTGAAAATATTTTTGGAAACAATCCTTAGTAAAAATGTTAGTAAATCTTGGAAAAGCACTTAAAGTTCTTGCTGCACATAACTAGTGCTTCTTGTAATAAGCAGTTAAAGGTCTTTTGAAACTCAAAAATATTTTCAGTCATTTTAAAAGAAAATCCAAACGGGCAGTAAGTCACACACCTTGAAATCACTACTTAAAGAACAAGAAATCCACAAAGCAACCAAAACCCATTTCAACAAGCGAATTCGAATTCGATAAAAACCGAAATACCACCAATTGTCAATCCAATTCATTCCTAAAAAGACTTAGATTTTTCACCAAATTAAGCACCAACAGCCATCAAATCACAAAGCATACCTCTTTCTTCATATCACCCCTCCTAGCCATGACAGCGGCGTAGAGCAACCGAGGCAGCCTATCAAACTCGGCGGCCTCGATCCTCGGCGGCCAAACCTGCGGGTTCTTGTAGCACAAAAACACATGCCTTTGGTAAAACTCCACCGTCCCGGCGAGTTGGCTCGTCCGGAACTCGGGGCGGTTGAACCCGAACTCGGCGTCGCTGCTGCTCCCGCTGGTGTCGGCGAGCAAGCCATCGTTCTGGAAGCTTCCGGAGGTGCTACCGATATGAGAATTGGGGTCGGAGAGGAAGCTTTCGAGCGAGTCGGAGATAACAATTGGGGAGGAGGAGGTGGATGGGTTGGTGAATGCGAGTGAGTCGTCTCGGTCTCGGGCGCTCCCCATGGGATTGGAGACTGAGTCGAGTCCGAGTGGAAACCGAGTTGGGTCAGATTTGGGTTGAGTTTTGGTTTTCCAGTGCAATGGGAAGTGGAGAGTGGGGGAGTGAAGAGACTTCGGTCTACCGAATGGGCAATTACGACACGTGCATTTTGCTTGGAGTGTCTTCCCTTTGAGGTACGTGTGTGTATATATACATATTTATTAATATATATAAGAAACCTAAAGATTTAGATTTGAATGAATATAAAATGTTTACTTGTTTGGAACGAGGAATCAGAAGAGTGGGGAATGAGTTCAATGAGTGTGAGATCAACTACTCTCTACTCTGCTTAATCAATTTAGTTACTTATTTTACAAAGATTGCATAATGGATTCTCCTGTAAAATTTATGTACTTTTTTTATTTTTTATGGGTTAAACGTAAGAAAAGTCAATCGTGACTTTATAAGTAAGCATACCAAGATAAGACGTAATGTGCACGTAACTTTCAAGTAAAAGCGGGAGAAGTTAAGAATCGAAATGATTTTACTTTTCAGTTCCAAGTAAACTTAGAGAAAGTCAGGAATCAAAGTAATTCTAATACATATTTAAGGCAAGTATACGTGTCATAAGTAGAAGTGTGATGTACATAATTCTGTAGTAAAAGCAAGAGAAGTTCAGAACCAGAGTGATTTCAGTACTTGTGTTGTAAACCCAAATCAAGTCAAGAACCGAAAAATCACACGCAGCAGATAAGTAAACATGTCATAATTAGAGGCAATGTGTGTTGTGCAGTAGCAGTTTTAGGTGGTTGTACATAGTGGACCAAAAGCTGCAGCCAACAAGAATACGATGAAAGCAAAAGGCTATAAATACTAGACACTTCATTTCCACAGAAAATCTTCAACCGATTATCCGAGAATTGTTCGTCTCAATATACAAAATCACACCTTCCCTGGAGTTACATCCAAATCTCATTAATCTCACATCACTCTTTTTTCTCTTTCTGCCCAAACATACTAGGATCATAGACTTTCACAAAATGCTGACGCAACCAAACTTGTTCGTAATTCGACACAGGTGTGGCAAACGCAAACATCAAAGGGGTTTCTCACCAGGGAGATAAGAGGGGGAGCCGCCCTCGACCTGGTTCTTTTTTCTGTTGAACATGCCGCTAAGAGTAGGCAAGAGTGTCTTTTTCGTAATGGATGTATTATCTTTGTTCAACTTCCGGGCCTCAATAGTTTTCGTTTGAGGGTTCTGCTTTTGAATTCTGTAATGCCGTGGGGATGATTCCACTGACGTCTCTGTTTCTGCCAGTATCCGCAGTGCAGCATCAGCTGCTCTCTTCTGCTCCCTTTCTCGCCACCTTCGGAGCTCTCCTTCCACTGCCTTTTTCGCAGCTTCAGCCATTTCTGCCCTCTTTTTGGCCTCCTCAGTTGCAGCCTTCATTTCCTCCAATTCCTTCTGGGTTGCCTCTAACCTCTTCAAGGCCTCGTTTTCACTAGCCTTCACAGCTTCCACCTGAGCCATGGCAGCAGCCACTTTCATTTCTGCTAATGTATCAGACTCCTCAACCTTTCGGCTCAAAGACTCGTACTCATCCTTTGATATGGTGATCTTGGCACCAGACTCGGAAGTTGATGCCCTAGCAGCGTTTGTTCTCTCAGATATAACTCTAATCTGTTCAAGGGCCCTTTCTTCTGCAGCTTTAGCCTCTTCAGCTTCTACCAAGCCAAGTCTCAGCTTCTTTTCTGCTTCTTTTACAGCAAGTTTAGTGGTTTCTGCTTCCTTCTTCAACTCCTCTGCTTTTATCTTCATCTCTTCTGCTTCTCGTCTTGCATTCTCGGTTTCCGAAGATAGCTGGTTTAGTGCGGCTACTATTTCATTGGAAGCACCTCTTGCTTTAGATTCTTCTGCCAGGCATGCTTCAAGCTCAGACTTAGTTTTCCGCAGTTTGACATGTAAATTCCCAGCAAGTGATTCTGTTTCTGCTTCCTTCTCCTTCAGTTCAACATGCTCTTTCCTCACATTCTCAAGCTCCACCTTGAGGGCTTCAACTAAGTTTCTGAGGCTGCTTTCTTCTTCGGCTACTTTATTCAGTGATTCCTTAGCATCATCTATCTCCAAAGTGACACTTCTGAGAGAATCTAAATCCGAAGCCTTTGCTTTCTCCATTTGCTTTTGCAATGCTCCAACTTCATTCAAAGTTTCAGAAAGTTGTGCTTCAAGATTTCTAGAAAGTTCTGGATCAAACTCTTTTTTCAGAGAAAGCAATTTCTTTTCTGACACTTCCAGTGTACCTTTATAGGACTGCCTCAAAACATCCTTTTCAGCAAACATCTTTGCTTGCTCTTGCTGGGCTTCCATAGACGCGAGCTTCACTTCCCCAATTGACTCTTGTACAGCCGAAATTTCCATCGAGATCTCATTAACCCTCTCCGCATTGGCCTTGGCTGCATCTTCAGCATCTGCTACCTGCTTGATGGCAGCAGCTTTTGCTTCCAAGGATGCATCACAGTCTTGACGGATTTTCTGTAACTCTTGCTTTGCAGAATTAAGTTCAGTAATCACACTCGTGTACTGTGCTCTTGCAGATTCCAAGTCTTGTTTCCAAGCACCATCAGTTCCCGCAAGGTTGCCACAGTTTGCTTCTTCAAGTTGCTTTGACTGACTTTTTGCAGCTTCTGTCGCCTTTCTTGCAAACTCCTTACTTTCACTAAGGGCTTTCACCTTGTTTGACAAATCCTCAAGAATTGCCTTGGATTTTTCAAGCTCCACATGTGCTTGGGCTTTAGTAGTTTCAGCATTCTTCAGTTGTTCCTTCAACTTGTACAGCTCTTTTTGGGCCAGATGAAGCTGTGTCTCGTTGGCTAGCACCCTCTGCATCAAAACAACAAAAAATTGTAAACGACATCACCTCAAGATAAATTTGGTTACTAGAAGAGCATGCATTAACCAAGCAGTTGCATTACAATGAGTAGAACTTCTGTATGGTTAATCATCTCACAAGGACAAAGAATTTCAATTAATCTATAGACTGAATGGAGGAAAAGAATGCATGATTTACACATGAGCAAGACTAAACCATTCACATCCATAGCTACAAATATAAAACTTACTTCAAAAGAAGCTTTGTTACTAAAATAAATTCTCATGATAGGTGGACATATTATGAGTTATCAACATCCGAAGAATAACTTCAAGAGTAACCTATGTGAAGTTTTTCAAAAATATACATACAACATAAATGTGGTTCCTAAACGGAAGGGTAAAGGAATTAGAAATACCTCTGCCGAATGAGCTTTTGTCTTCTTAATAGCAGGTTTCTCCCCCGAGAATGCGCCTTCCCCAAATAGTGAAACGGCATCTTTAACAGATTGGAAAGGTGCCCTGGTGTCAATCTCTCCCACCTCCACCTTAGGACTAGGAGAACTTGTAGCACTTTTTGCAACCATACTTGTCTACTATTTTCTTAAACTTCGACTGCTTGCTGAAAATAATAAATAAAATTTTTAACAAATATACTAGAGGAAGGAGAAAAGGAGGATAGCCGAATGCTGCCAACACCACATCTCGCAGCAACTCACATGAAATTCAACCAAATGCTCATTAGATTTCATACAAACAGTACAGGAAAGACAAACAGCCTCACAGGACATGGTTACAAGGATAAAAAACAGTAGAGTAATAAAGAAACGACCTAAAATTCTGACAACATTCGCGCTCTGAAAATTCACCAGCGCCAAGGTATAAGACGGTCCACACCATAGGTGAAACATGTCTTTAAATTCAGAAAAAGACCACAAATTTCCATGGATGCACCAAATTTATCGTTTCATTAACGGCATTGGATTCACACACGATTATACGTAACTGAATGGGGCGATTTCAATTCACCTTTCACATGATGAATCAATTTTCATTAACTAGTTTCAATTTGGCATTTTATACCAGAAAGTTCGATTTCATAATACAGTCTAAAAGGCCTCCACAATGATGCTTCGCCGCAACGAGTTCAAAGACTAACAACAAAATTCATAAACATTCACATAATCATAAGACATCATTACATTATTTTAATTCTTCAAGAAAATGGGACCATGTAATCATCAACACACATCTTTAACACTGAAACAGTCCTTACAAAATTCAAGTCTTAAAAAAAAAAATCAAAACAAATTCAAAAGAAATCTAAGCAATTGAAAATTCCAACATTTCTTTACAATTATTCGGTAAAATATCAAAACATCATGCCATCGGACAAATTGGAAAGAAAAAAAAAAAAGGAGCAAAATTGAAGCTTGAAAATATGTGAGAGTTACTTACCCAGAAACCTAATCAAATCCCCACAAATTTACGCACCATAAACCCTAGAAATCACCGGAGTCCGGAAACCCAAGCGCAACTTGGATCATCCACGCAACGATGAACTCCGACCATCTTCCCCGATCTTCATTTCCTTCCGAAGCCGAAACCCTTTCAAATTATCGAACAAAGAACCAAAACCCACCAAGAAAAATCTCTAAGTTGGGCGAGAATTCCCGAGAAAAATTCAAACTTTCTCGGCAAAGACGGTGTTTTTCCTGGAAAATAAAAACAGAGAAAAAGGGGGAAAAGAACCGATCTTTGGGTTTGAAATATAATCGGGTTTTTGTTTTCTTGGACGTTAGAAACGGATTGAGAGAGAGAGAGAGAGAGAGAGAGAGAGAGAGAGAGGTTTGAAAATTCGAAAGCTGGTTGAAGACAAATATTACATCAGAAGGTCAGTCTGCGAAAGAGGAGAGAGAGAGGGAATAGTATCCCGTGGGATATCTGTCTGGTCCTTGCCTGTCTTTTAACTGCATAACGAATTGTACGCGTCGGACGATTTTACCCTTGTGATTTTAAAATTGAAATGGTCAGCTGGTAGAAGGAACAATGCTCTAAAGCAAATCAGTCAGCAAGAGTGTAGGGGCAAGTGAGTGTGATGACGTGGCACCGTCCAAGGGAGAAAGAGATGGGTTTGGTTAGATTGTGAATTGTGAAAGGAATAGTTTGCCTTTTAGTTGTTTGTTTGCTAAAATGTCAAACCAATGAGGCAATAGTAAAGGATCCTGGATTCTTTTCCTAGGATTTTAGGGATTAAATGATCCGGACTGTCTATCGTATATCTTACGATCGATTTTCGTTAAATACTATTTATATTTAATTTTAAAATTTAAATTTTAAAATAATTTTTGACCACACGATATTTGATGAACGGTCTGGATCATGGAATCTCTAAGACGAGGATCCTTTTCCTCCAATGCAAATGATGATGTGATGTGGGGTTTGGATAATGGATAATGGTGTTTGCTTTACCTCTTTTCAATCCCATTTCATTTTGTTCCATTCCTTATCGTCCACGCCCGTTGACCTAAGTTTCATTCTATCTTATTTCGTCTCGTTCACATACTAAATGTTCTCCTATTAAATATTTTCCAAGCATAAATGGTGTGAATAATAAATGATTCATCATGAATTTTGAATCGGAATTTTACCCAAATAGTAAGGATAGTCAAAATAGACCATGAGATTGACGTAACTCTTTATTTTGGTCTCCGAGATTTAAAATCGATAAGTGGTTCTTAAATTTGTTCATCATCAATCATTTTAATTATTCCATGAAAATTCTTTGTTCAATAAGGTAAAATGACAAAAATATCCCAATTTTTGTCGTATTATTTTGGTTCATTATTTATTAAACTGAAGTTTTTTTGTCATCTTGGCCTTTATTTAACAGAGATTTTACACGGAATGACCAAAGGATTGATGACGGACAAACTTAAAGATCACTTATCATAGACCATTTTGAATAAATTTAAAAAAAAGATTGTTTAATTCTTAGTGGGAAAACTACATATATAGATCAAATTATAATTACATTAACAATGATCTTGTAATTCAAATGATTGAGAGCATAACTTTTAACTTAAATAATTGAGAGCGTTTATTTCCGAACCGAAAGTCCATATGTTCTATTCCCCAATCCGAAACCTAAACTTAGAGATGGGTCATCCTTTTCGCTTTCTTGAAGAGCAATAAACCTACTTTGTTGACCCAAATTTTAATAGGTATGCATTGGCGATGGCCTGTATATCTAACTCATGGGACATGAAGCAACATCAAGCCCATCGGCTTAATCCATACGCCACATTTTGTTTGGTACTCTTGAAACCTAATTAAAGTGACAACGCAGAACAAGGTTGAAGCTCCATTTTTGTATTTTTTTTTCTTTTTAATTTTACTATTATATGTTAAGGGGAGGAGGGAGAGTTCAAAACTATTATATCAATTTAGGGAGGGGGAATTTTCGGACCGGAAAAACATAGGTAAAAACTCAACACCCTATCTACTAAGATATTGGACCACATGCATCATATATCTCCACAATACCATAAAGTTGCTCAAATTGAAAGATGGAACAATAAACGTCATATTGAGGTGAAGCCATAAAGAACATTGGTTATTACTTAACAACTGCCATACATGCTTTTATCCAAGTGATACATTAATCAATCTAGTTTAATAGTAAAGGGCACACTATTGTAACCAACTTCGCTACGAACACTAGTAAGCAAATGAAACCGTTGTGTTGATGCTCGTCTTATTTCTTCACTACCCTTTTCATTCCCCAAATCTTTAGATTTGGCTACAAACACCAAAGTATGATATCCTGCATTTACTGGGCAAATTGATAAGATAGCTCAGAGCATACATGATACACAGCTAAACAGAAACCTTGTGTTCGTGTTCGTTATATGGATCATAGCATACGATGCATGGACATGGACACATATATGATACGAGAATAGGACACAGCACGACATAATGAATTGAGGAGATATCACCGTATCCATGCATCGAAGATCATATCGATCATACAATGCCGTTGAAATTTTCAGGTGAAGGGACCTTCCGGTGACCAGATTCATGATTTTTTCGTGGCAAAGACTACTGAAAAGTTTTGAGTTTTTCGCTCATTGCAAAGGAGTCCATCAGTTTTGCTTCACCAACAAGTCTCCCTATCATGAAACCATAGATTTCGATATACATGTTAGCCATTTTACGTACTACGGTCAACATGCAAAAGATGGTGAGCGATTGATATGCAGAGCACTTCAACCCATTGTTAGAACAGGTACCAAAACTCGGACCAAAACTATGTAATTCACATTCTATCAGCCGAGAAGGTAAGAAGGGCTAAGAGCGAGGAGCGGTCCGCTTGGGTGGACGGAACAACAAAGTTCCCCTGAATCCAAGGCCTTCCCGGCACTAGATTATAGGACTGTGTCCTAGGCTCTTTATAACGTTCATTTGAGCAGCATTGGCTAGAGGCTCAGACCGAACGACAGGTAATCGGTATTTGATCAACTCTATTTACCTTGATGATTGAACTAATATTGATCCGTGCATTTAACAACAACAAAGCTTTATTCCACTAAGTAAGCATCGACTGTATCAATTTTAGATGCCATTGCACTCAGTTTTGCCCCAAGTCTTTCTGTAGCTCCAAGTATTCCTGTCTTTTCTTAAAATCTCTTTCTAAGTCATCCTAGGTATCCTTTTGTCCTGAGTTTGTCTCGTAATTGTATTTTCTAACTGGAGCATCTGTAGATTTTTATTTCACATATCCAAACCACCTTAACCGATTTTTTCTCATCTTATCTTCAATAGCAACCACTTCTACTTTACATCAGATATCCTCATTCTTAATCCTCCATTGTGTGCATAAACAGCTATAATTCTCTAGCACCGTGTAAGCATAGTTTCTTTCTCAATCTTTTCGTAATATAAATTGTTTCTTGCAATCGTTGATGCAGCAAACGAAGCAACGGGTCAGAGGGCGATCCATAAGGCTTTTTTTCGAGTCAGCAGCGCTTGTCGGTGCCAGAGTTCCCCAAGTTTTCCTTCTTCGCTGCCTTTTTGGACAGAAGCTTGGGGTGACCAGAGTCTAACCTTGACACAGCCACAATACTTAATCACAGTAGAAGAATTTTACACTTCAATTCTTACTCCATGCTTATGATTTTGAGCATATGCGTTAAACTGCGATTTGCAAGTAAAGCGGAATGACTCCTCCGGTATTGCTCAAACATTCAAATCTAGCAAGAAATCATTTCCCTTCGTCTTCTTTTTATTGAAATGTAGACTTTATTTACCGAAACTAGATACACATGGAAAAGAAGAAAGTTTTTCGGAATTTGAAATCGGAAACAAAATAATTTCACAAACTAGAGTGGTTTGATAATACAATTCGGGAAGAAGGAAAGAATGTCATAAGCAAAGCTCTAAAGCTTGAAGCAAAGATAAGACGAAGAAACAGATCGGTATATTCTAATACCGATCATCACATCGAACGGGAAATATAGATACAATAAGTAGTTGTCGTTCTTACTTCTCCCATCACCAAGTTTTTTTGTTTTGGTTTTATACGCCACACGGTAAATTCCATCCATCATTGCTATACAGCTCCCTATCTTCTTTGGAAATATATGGTGGAGCCAGTTACAGAACACCGTGCTCCTCCATTGGAGCACTTAGGAGAACAACATTGTCAAGACTCTGCCTGTGGTTGATGAATGCAGCAAAACCATTTTTTCTGTGCACCAGGAAATCAAACCAAACCAAATCAAATCATCCGCAAAGAGTGAGGAATTCAAGCATATTAGATTTTGGCAGCAGAAATAATCACCCTCCAGTTATTTGTTCTATTATTCTACTAATTGGAAATGCAGCAGATACAGAAAACGCATATAGAGAAAACGAAAAGCCGACACAATGATCAATTGACAAGAGCAAATATTTCCAGGGCCATTAGTTCTTTCTATTATTCACAATAAAACAAACAAATTTTCCAATTAGGCTACATCTGTCAAAAAGGAGACAGAACCCTTGTTAAGTTAACGCATGCCAATTCCACTCGAATGGAATAATACAGATAAAACAGCTGAATCATCTTCTATTCTTTTATTTTCCAAGTATCTTGGCCCTAACATTAGATCTGTCTTTTGCCACATTTCGTTAATAGAGTTCTATATAAGTCAGTTGCATTGATTTTCAAATCAAATGGTACGCTGAGTTTGACCGATAAGGCATTGTTACATATAGTTGAATATTGTACTACTGACGTCACTTGAAAAGCAATAACTTGCAACTAAGAGAACAGCAAATAATATATTGCCATTGGCTGACTCATGTATATATCAAATCATTAGAGAAAGAAACGAGACAACCGTTAATGAGAAAAAATCTTACAGATGACGAAGGCCTGCCAGTGCCAGGATCCACTCCTCCTCCATGCCTGATATTAGGATCAACCTTTCCTGGTGACTCTGGTTTTCCACCTGTCTTCTTCTCATCCCTAGCCTTGTTAAAGATCACAGTAAACCCCTCAGCCGAAGCAGGATCATTGACGTCCCATTCACCAAATTTTGGGAGTGGCCTGCCTTTTTCCTGTTAGAATTCAGTAATATATTCTCATTGTTATTCAGCATGGCAAGGCAAAGGGCACCCAAGTAATAAGTTTACAAATCTAATGATTGCGAGGCAATTACATATTCTCTTAACTACAAAAACAAAAGTATAGACAAGCACTCCGTTACATCCCGAACCTATCTAGGTTGTCTTCAAGCTTACAGGTACTGGCCCCATATACCTAAAAACGTATCCCAATATCATACCACTAGTCTTTACATGCCAAACACCAATCTAACAATTCTAACCTGGTCTCAACCTTGGGCCTAGTGCTATATCGTTTCAACTTTCAAAAAAACTTCGGTAAGGATCTGAGTCGGAATATAAGTGCTTACAAACTTTCTATTGGTAGTAAGTTTTTGCGACACTGAGTTGAAGTCCTAACTCTTGTTCAGTGCTGCATCATTTGGATAATCCTAGACATAGAGTAAAATAAAGGAGGGATTTCCTCCCTCATTGTTGTGATAGGAATCACTCAAAGACTATGGGAACCACTCCACTTCATAATAGCATTTCACTGAGTTCAACACTGTAATGGAAAAACGCAAGAATATACAAACATAAGGCAACCAGCACACCATGGAGCTAATGTCCTATGAAAAGGATAGAAAATAGATATCAGACGGGAAGGAAGAAGCTCAGCGAAGGCAACTGAAACACAACAATTTAGACAACATAAATCCATTTTCACGAAGCACTTAGCACAGATGTCGAAAGATACACCAATTGACTGAAATACGAAAAAGGATAAAGAACTCAAACCTTCCCCGACGACATAAGAACCCAGTTAAAAAAATCTATTTAGGCCCCAATGAAATCCTTGTTTTGGGCAAGGTAATAACAACAAAACCTCTTCATCCAACTAGTTTATGCATTCAAAGTCGGGATGAAGATCACACACATACATACAGAACCATACAAACACATAACCATGAAAACTTAGGAATTACGCGATGCCATTAATATACTAAACATTAAAAGTAAATATAGAAACCAGTCATAAACACCATCACGAAGCAATTTGTATAAAGATTATATTCCCCACTCAAACAACGAAAGATAATAAAAAACCAACAATACGTTTTATTCTATTACAATTCGAGCATCCAACCCGAAACCAATTGGCAACGGGTGGAGACGTCCGAGATCATTCAAACTATTTACGTAACAATTCAATTCCCGACATGGTATTCACACTCTCGAAACAATACCTGCTCCAAGAAGCAATATACTCTCAAAAATTTCAACTTGCTAATTTTGTAATAAACACAAAGAAAACTTGTCATTTGCTCACTAACCCTTTTCTGTTCATTTTCATTTTCACCGTATTCCTAATCAAACAAAACCATAAATCAAACTGGAAAACTATAATTTGCTCCTCTGAAGAATCCAAATTTTGCATCAAGTATCTGTATTTACTTTAATAATGATAAAAACATAAAAATTAAAACTAAAAACATGAATTTTGCTAAGAATTAATATAAAACCAATGCATATGAGAGAATTACAATCAAGTCAATACAAATTAATGAATAAATCTAAATGAATTAGAGCTCAATCCAATCAGAAACCCAACAAATAAGCATCGCAAAGATTGAATTTAAACACGAACCAAATAAAGCCATACAAAAGATTAAGAATTTATATTCGGATTGAAGAAAGAGATTACGTACCGATATGAATTCGATCAATGAGGAAAGAACTTTATTATTTTCCAGGAAAATGAAATGACTCGGAGGGAGAGGGAGAGGGAGAGAGAGAGAGAGAGAGAGAGAGAGGTTGGGCCAGAAATGGGCCTAAATTGCATTGTGAAATCTGGGAAAAAATATGAGGTTTTAACAATTTTTGTTTCAGGATGAACGGCGTTATTTTGCTGACGGAAACGGAAAGATGATTCGTATCGCCGTTAAGTCGGCGTCAACCCTGACGTGGTTTGTGCGTTTGGAATAAAATTGAGACTCCAATAAAAAAATGGAAAATTGCACAATCACTATCCTACATTAAATCCATGAATAAAATCGAACCAGCTTATTCAAGTTTTAGTACTGATGTATTACCACGCTAATTTTCCTTAGAACTCAGTTAAAACGCATAATCGTCATCAATTTATCACTTGTTAATTAGATGAATAGTGCATTTTTTGAATAAATGACGAAAGTTTGGTATAAAGATTTGATTGACCAAAATTCTTTGGCACGTATTTTCCACTTTCAAGAAGAATAGTCATAGTAAAGGAAGTCATTTAGTGGTCATCATTCCACATTGGGAAACTAATTCCCACATCAAAAAATAGTCAAGTTAGCATGTCGAAGCTAATGCAACTTTTCGAGAGTCCAATCATCATTTAGATGCTAGAGACAACACAACTTGAGCAACGAGCCCCTTGCATTTCCATTTCTTTGTTGATTGCTTATTCTCGATGCATTAAATAAAAGAGAGTTTTAACAAAAAGTTTATGGTACTGTTCATTTTAACGAAAAACCACATTTTTACACTAAAAAGTCAAACCTCATACTATTCACTTTACCCTTTATTTTGTCCTTATTGTTAAAACTCAAAGTTTTCAAGTCATTTTCATTAGTTTTTCTTAAATAAAATGCATTACTAGCTCATAAGTTAAAATTTGCTAAAATAAATTAAAAGATCCGGTTTAAGTGGCCTGGTTAAAATCTTGCTGGGAGAAAACTGAAAGGGAAAAACTCCAAACTTAGGAGAAAGAGTAGCACATTTATAAAGTTATAATACAAATCAGTTTAAAAGGGACCAAGCAAACATAGCAATCGTTTACCCCAAAAAAAAAAAAAAAAAAGCAAATATAGGAATCCAGGAGAATAAACATCGGCCGAGAAATATTGTGGACTACTTTACTTTACATGAATAAAGATGATTAATAAATAATAATAATAATAATATTAATATTAAAACATTCCTCGAGAAAATGATACCTGGACCATCAGCTTCATATCTCGTTAAAATCTATCCGTATGCGAGGGATGTGGGATACTTTTCCTGGTTGGCATCTCTCTTTTAGCACTGGACACCCAAAGATGTCAAGTCTCTCTAGTGAAGGAGGCAGACCCTCCTCTGGAATGGATGCTAGCTTTGGACAATTGAAGAGCCGCAGAGATTGAAGGGAGGTGAGGAATTGAAAGCCCTTGCCGCTCAGTTTCTTCAGATTCGGGAAGCCAACTATTATGAGTTCAGTGACAGATTTGGGGAGGAGCATCTCCATGCGGACCATGTCGGGTCGAAACGACACCGTATCCGGGTCTTCCCCACTGATCCACAACATTCTAAGAGAGTTGAGTCTCTGCAACCCCCACTCCAGCTTCCACAATGACTTACAACTCTTGACCTTATTAATTGAAAGAAACGTGAGGTTGGGAGGAAAAGGCAAACCTTCACGGTAGTCGATCCTCAATTCCTCAAGAGAGTTGAGATTGTGCATGTCTTCGGGCAACGCCTCCAATTTCTCGCAATCTCTGATACTGATCTCTCTCAGGTTGGAGGGTCTTCTCCCTCCACTCAGTCTCGGGATGGAAACAAGACTTCCACAGTACCTAATAATTAGAGTTTGAAGATTGCTGAGGTGGCATAAGTCATCCGGTAAGGATTTCAGATTTTGGCAATGCCATATCTCAATATATTCAAGGCAATGATTGGTGTTGTCGCCGAAGAACCCGTTCGGTGCTATTAAACCCTCTCGTTCACATTCCTCCTCATCTACCAGTGATTTCAAACTTTTGCACCATCTTATCTCTATTCTTCTGAGATTTTGGGGAATCTGGAATTTTGCAAAATATATCAACGAATGGCACCTTCTAATGTCGATGTGTTTAAGAGAAGGTGGCAGACCAACATCTGGAAAAGAAACTAGAGATGAACATTCGTATATGCGAAGCTCTTGAAGAGACGACAGCTGATTTAACCCTTTTGGTAGCTTCAAAAGATTTTCGCACTTTTTTAACTCCAGACATTCAAGCTTGCATTCCAATATTTCCAATTGCAGCAACTCCTCTGCTTCTTCTCCCAATTCTTCAACTAGGGCAGAGTTGTCTTCAATTTCCAAACGGCCAAGACAAGTCAACCGCTGCAATAATCTACCCTCATTCTTCAATGACGACATCAGCTTCTCACATCCATTAATCTTCAAATCTCTAACCTTGCTTAATCCCTTCCTCAACAATTCCCCTGTTTGCAGAGACATCACCTCCGAAATGTTTGAAAGGCACAAGGACTCTAATAACTCAAACTCAACCTTAGCATCTGTATGCACCAATACTTTACAACCGTCAATGTTTAATTGACGAAGTTGTTTGTAGTTGGCAATCGAAACCACCAATTCCTCACATTCAACAATTTCAAGTTTGGCTAACAAATCGAGGTTCTCTGGCAGCTTACCTTCCAACTTAGAACATTCTTTGATTGAAAGCCTTTTCAGGCAAGGGAAAACACCACTTCCGTGATCCCGTTGGAAGGGAAGCCACACCTTCCAATGCTGCATATCCACAAACTCGAGAATCTCTAACAGAGGAAAAGCCAAGACACACTCGCCATAAAACTCAGCACCAACACTTTCCACTGCATTCATTCCGCTAATATAAAGCTCTTTGAGTTGAGGCAATTGTCCGAGAGGTGGCAACGATAAACAATTGTTACATTCCTCTAAGCGCACAAGCACCATATTAGAGAAGAAAGAACCTCCAACCCATGATGAAAATTCCTTTCCGGCGTAACTCTTGATAGTGAACTCCTTGAGCTTTGTATGAGGATGTAACATGTCGAGCACAGTGGATTCCATTTCTCTTGTGTTGCTTGAATGAGACCATTCTAGAACCAACGAATCAAGCCTCTCCTTGCATTTCAAGTTGGCCCTCCTGGCATCCTCGACATCAATCACATTCTCCAATTTTGAGAGGCACAATGTCCCTCGGAGATGCAATAGGGGCCCTATCTCTCTTATCCCAGATTGATCACTACCTTCGCTCGCCACAAAAAGAGGCAGTGATTGTAGATTTGTCAATCGACCTAGTTGCGAAGGCATTCCTTCCAACGAATATGCACCTGAGTTGTTGAGATGGCGCAACTGAATTAGATTGCTCAAGTCCACAGGCAATGACTTCAATTCATAACAACCTTCCAATATCAACGTATAAGTCAGTTGCATTGATTTTCACATCAAATGGTACGCTGAGTTTCACAGATAAGGCAGTGTTACATATAGTTGAATATTGTACTACTGACGTCACTTGAAAAGCAATAACTTGCACCTAAGAGAACCGCAAATAATACAATGCCATTGGCTGACTCATGTATATATCAAATCATTAGAGAAAGAAACGAGACAACAGTTAAATGAGAAAAAAATCTTACAGACGAAGGCCCGCCAGTGCCAGGATCCACTCCTCCTCCATGCCTGATATTAAGATCAACCTTTCCTGGTGACTCTGGTTTTCCACCTGTCTTCTTCTCATCCCTAGCCTTGTTAAAGATCACAGTAAACCCCTCAGCCGAAGAAGGATCATTGACGTCCCATTCTCCAAATTTTGGGAGTGTGATAGGAGCATATTCATGCGACTTAAATGGCTTGTTCTCGTGCATTTACGTTATGTTTCTTTAGTTATTTTAGTCCTTTATGCTTCTTTTGTGTGTTTTCAGGTTCTAAGGGCAAAGTATGCAAAATGGTGCATTTTGGAGTAGTTTGGGGTGTTAAATGGATTGCATATACTTGAAGCCAAGTAGATGGACGAAATTGAAGACCAAAGGAGGCCCTTTGTACCAGAAATTCACACCAACACATCCCATTTCAGATTGCATTCCAATCATTCCAGCCAAGCCACATGCACTCCCTTTAATTTATTCAACCTAGCTGTCAAAGCACATGCACATTCACCCTAATCATTCACATACACAATTTGCCATCATTCACACATTGATTCCACATGCATTCCCTTCACAAATCAGCCACATGCACTTTGCCTTTCATCATTGCACCATAAATCAGCCACATGCACCCATAATCATTCAACCAACTTTGCACATGCTTTCATCATCATAACCTAGCTGTCATTACCCTTTAATCACATGCATAAATCAGCCACATGCATCTCCCATCACCATTTCAGATTTCCACCAAGTTCCTAGCTGTCATATTCCCTCCTTTTCACCTATAAATAAGCATCCATTGCAGCCACAATTCATTCATTCCCATTCATACACAATACACAACCATTCACGCCAGAAATTCATCCCCTCTCTATAACACATCCATACTTCACCATTCCTCATATTTTCTGCCCAAAAAGAAGCCTTGAGGTCCCCTACATCCATCCCTATCCTAAACACATCATTCTACACCATCCATAACTCCCCATCCCTCCAAACCTATCCTTAGACCTTGTGCTACAACGAAGAGGAAGAGAAGAGGGCCTAAACGTTCATACAATTCAAGTTTGAGTTGTTGGAATGTTTAGGCGTTTCTTTGATTTCAATGTTTAATTTCAATTCTCTTTGTTTTGTACGTATGAGGAACTAAACCCCCCTTGGCTAGGGGGGGATTCGAAATATATGTTTATGCTTGCATTTTGATTTGATTACTTCTAATTGCGTTTCATAAGTTGTGAATTCAATTTGTTTAACTATTTGATTGATAACCTATTTATGTATGCTTATTGAGAGTTCACGTTTAATTTTCATGCATGAATTTGACGCTAGAATATAAGTGAGTTTCACGTAATAGTTATGAACTTATATTCACAAGTAGTGGAGGTTGCTTATAAACAATCGCGTTAAACATATTCTTGGCATAAGTTTCATGCAATCATAGTAACGAATGCCTCGTCAACACTTATAGTTTTCATGTTGCTTAATGATTCTTGCTTGTATCTCTATTATGCAATTCATGTAGGGAACTTGTGAGGAATGCTTTGGGTTGTCGTATGCAATCATCCAATTCATTAACTTAAGGAAAACTTGACGGTTAATTTAAGCGGACCTAATTAACCCGGGGCGTTGAGAATTCATGGTTTATTGAAATGCAATTGGAAATCTTTTTATTATGCAAGTGTAACATGTGTGGAGATGAACCCCTTAGCTAGCAATCCATCACATTCATACTTACAATCTGTTTTAATTAGAATCTGTGCAATTAGTTTAATTTCGTCCAAAACTCAATCCCCCCTTGCTTTAGTGTCCAACTTAGTTAGAAAGTGTCTTAGTTTGTGTTTCTAAGTGTTTTGATTCATTTTATTACCCAATTTCGTCCAAAGTAGTCAAAGTGCTCAAAACTGCCCAGAAAGTGTTTTTAAGGCAGTTTTGAGTGTTTTGGGTGCTGTTTGAGTCTTTTGGTTTGTTTTAGTGTTTTAAATGTTTAGTTTTGCATTCTTTGAGTCTAGTTTAGTGTTTTAAACTTTATTTTACGTTTTTGAGTCAGTTTCCAAGTGATTTTGCAATCCCTCCTAATCCCCGGTTAAGAACGATCCCTACTTATACTTATACTACAATTGATAAAAAGAGGGTTTAATTTGTGTGCGTATAATTCTCGCATCAGAGTGGCCTGCCTTTTTCCTGTTAGAATTCAGTAATATATTCTCATTGTTATTCAGCATAGCAAGGCAAAGGGCACCCAAGTAATAAGTTTACAAATCTAATGATTGCGAAGCAATTACATATTCTCTTAACTACAAAAACAAAAGTATAGACAAGCACTCTGTTATATCCCGAACCTATCTAGGTTGTCTTCAAGCTTACAGGTACTGGCCCCATATACCTAAAAACGTATTCCAATATCATACCACTAGTCTTTACATGCCAAACACCAATCTAACAATTCTAACTTGGTCTCAACCTTGGGCCTAGTGCTATATCGTTTCAACTTTCATAAAAACTTCGGTAAGGATCTGAGTCCGAATATAAGTGCTTACAAACTTTCTATTGGTAGTAAGTTTTTGCGACACTGAGTTGAAGTCCTAACTCTTGTTCAGTGCTGCATCATTTGGATAATCCTAGACATAGAGTAAAATAACAGAGGGATTTCCTCCCTCATTGTTGTGGTAGGAATCACTCAAAGACAATGGGAACCACTCCAATTCATAATAGCATTTCACTGAGTTCAGCACTGTAATGGAAAAACGCAAGAATATACAAACATAAAGCAACCAGAACACCATGGAGCTAATGTCCTATGAAAAGGATAGAAAATAGATATCATACGGGAAGGAAGAAGCTCAGCAAAGGCAACTGAAACACAACTATTTAGACAACATAAATCCATTTTCATGAAGCACTTAGCACAGATGTCGAAAGATACACCAATTGACTGAAATACGAAAAAGGATAAAGAACTCTAACCTACCCCGACGACATAAGAACCCAATTAAAAAAAAATCTATTTAGCCCTAAATGAAATCCTTGTTTTGGGCAAGGTAATAACAACAAAACCTCTTCATCCAGCTAGTTTATGCATTCAAAGTCGGGATGAAGATCACACACATACATACAGAACCATACAAACACATGACCATGAAAACTTAGGAATCACGCGATGCCATTAATATACTAAGCATTAAAAGTAAATACAGAAACCAGTCATAAACACCATCAGGAAGCAATTTGTATAAAGATTATATTCCCCACTCAAACAACGAAAGATAATAAAAAACCAACAATACCTTTTATTCTATTACAATTCGAGCATCCAACCCGAAACCAATTGGCAACGGGTGGAGACGCCCGAGATCTTTCAAACTATTTACGTAACACTTCAATTCCCGACATGGGATTCACACTGTCGAAACAATACCTGCTCCAAGAAGCAATATACTCTCAAAAATTTCAACTTACTAACTTTGTAATAAACACAAAGAAAACTTGTCATTTTCTCACTTACCCTTTTCTGTTCATTTTCATTTTGACCATATTCCTAATCAAACAAAACCATAAATCAAACTGAAAAACTGTAATCTGCTCCTCTGAAGAATCCAAATTTTGCATCAAGTATATGTATTTACTTTAATAATGATAAAAACATAAAAATTAAAACTAAAAACATGAATTTTGCTAAGAAATTAATGAGAATTACACTCAAGTCAATACAAATTAACGAATAAATCTAACTGAATTAGAGCTCAACCCAATCAAAAACCTAGCAAACAAGCATCGCAAAGATTAAATTTAAACAAAAACCAAATAAAGCCATACAAAAGATTAAGAATTTATATTCGGATTGAAGAAAGAGATTACGTACCGACATGAATTCAATCAAAGAAGAAAGAACTTTTTTATTTTCCGGGAAAATGAAATGACTCGGAAAGCACAGAGAGAGAGAGAGAGAGAGACGTTGGGCCAGAAATGGGCCTAAATCGCATTGTGAAATCTGGGAAAGAATACGAGGCTTTAACGGTTTTTGTTTCGGTTTGAACGGCATTATTTTGCTGACGGGAACGGAAAGATGATTTGTATCGCCGTTAAGTCAGCGTCAGGCCTGACGTGGTTTGTGCGTTTGGAATAAAATTGAGACTCCAATAAAAAAATGGAAAATTGCACAATCACTATCCTACATTAAATCCATGAATAAAATCGAACCAGCTTATTCAAGTTTTAGTACTGATGTATTACTACGCTTAATTTTTCTTAGAACTCAGTTAAAATGTATAATTGTTATCAATTTATCACTTGTCAATTAGATAAATAGTGCACTTTTAATAAATGACGAAAGTTTGGTATAAAGATTTGATTGACCAAAATTCTTTGGCACGTATTTTGTACTTTTAGGAAGACAAGTCATAGTAAAGGAAGTCATTTAGTGGTCATCATTCCACATTGAGAAACTAATTCCCACATAAAAAAATAGTCAAGTTAGCATATCGAAAGCTAACGCAACTTTTCGAGAGTCCAATCATCATTTAGATGCTAGAGACAACACAACTTGAGCAACGAGCCCCTTGCATTTCCATTTCTTTGTTGATTGCTTATTCTCGATGCATTAAATAAAAGAGAGTTTTAACGATAAGCTTACGGTACTGTTCATTTTAACGAAAAATCACATTTTTACACTAAAAAGTCAAACTTGATACTATTCATTTTACCCTTTATTTTGTCGTTATTGTTAAAACTCAAAGTTTTCAAATTATTTTCTTTAGTTTTCCTTAAATAAAATGCATTACTAGCTCATAAGTTAAAATTTGCTAAAATAAATTAAAAGATTCGGTTTAAGTGGCCTGGTTAAAATCTTGCTGGGAGAAAACTGAATGGGAAAAACTCCAAACTTAGGAGAAAGAGTAGCACATTTATAAAGTTATAATACAAATCAGTTTAAAAGGGACCAAGCAAACACAGCAATCGATTACCCCCAAAAAAAAATGCAAATATAGGAATCCGGGAGAAGAAACGTCGGCCGAGAAATATTGTGGATTACTTTACTTTACAAGAATAAACATGATTATTAATAATAATAATATTAATATTAAAACATTCCTCGAGAAAATGATACCTGGACCATCAGCTTCAAATCAGCTTCCAATCTATCCTTATGCAAGGGATGTGGGATATTTTGTGCCAGTAGCGTCCTTTTCCTGGTTGGCATCTCTCTTTTAGCACTGGACACCTATGGATGACAAGTTTCTCTAGTGAAGGAGGCAGACCCTCCTCTGGAATGGATGCTAGCTTTGGACAATCCCAGAGTTGCAGAGATTGAAGGGAGGTGAGGAATTGAAAGCCCTTGCTGCTCAGTTTCTTCAGATTCGGAAAGCCTTCTATTGAGAGGTTAGTGAGAGATTTGGGGAAAAGCGTCTCCGTCCGTACCATGTCGGGTGGAAACGACACCGTATCCGGGTCTTCACCATTGATTTCCAAGTATGCAAGAGAGGTGAGTCTGTGCAACCCCCACTCCAACTCCCACAATGACTTACAGCTCTTGACCTTCCAAATTACAAGCAACGTGAGGTTGGGAGGAAAAGTCAAACCTTCACGGTAGTGGATCCTCAATTCCTCAAGAGAGTTGAGATTGTGCATACCTTCGGGCAACGCCTCCAATTTCTCGCATTCATAGATCTCCATCTCTCTCAGGTTGGAGGGTCTTCTCCCCCCACTCAGTCTCGGGATGGAAACAAGACTTCCACAGTTCCTAATAATTAGAGTTTGAAGATTGCTGAGGTGGCATAAGCCATCCGGTAAGGATTTCAGATTTTGGCAATTCCAGATCATAATACGTTCAAGGCAGTGATTGGTGTTGTCGCTGAAGAACCCGTTCGGTGCTATTAAACCCAGTCGTTCACATTCCTCCTCATCTACTAGTGATTTCAAACTTTTGCAATTTCCTATAATTATTCTTCTGAGATTTTGGGGAATCTGGAATTTTGCAAAATATATCAATGAATGACACTCTCTAATGTCGATGTCTTTAAGAGAAGGTGGCAGACCAACATCTGGAAAAGAAACTAAACGTGAACATTCGTGTATGCGAAGCTCTTGAAGAGACGACAGCTGATTTAACCCTTTTGGTAGCTTCAAAAGATTTTCGCACTTTTTAAACTCCAGACATTCAAGCTTGCATTCCAATATTTCCAATTGCAGCAACTCCTCTGCTTCTTCTCCCAATTCTTCAACTAGGGCAGAGTTGTCTTCAATTTCCAAACGGCCAAGACAAGTCAACAGCTGCAATAATCTACCCTCATTCTTCAATGACGACATCAGCTTCTCACATCCATTAATCTTCAAATCTCTAACCTTGCTTAATCCCTTCCTCAACAATTCCCCTGTTTGCAGAGACATCACCTCCGAAATGTTTGAAAGGCACAAGGACTCTAATAACTCAAACTCAACCTTAGCATCTGTATGCACGAATACTTTACAACCCTTAATATTTAATTGACGAAGTTGTTTGTAGTTGGCAATCGAAACCGCCAATTCCTCACATTCAACAATTTCAAGTTCGGCTAACAAATCGAGGTTCTCTGGCAGCTTACCTTCCAAATGGGAACATTTTTCGATTGAAAGCCTTTTCAGGCAAGGGAAAACACCACTTCCGTGATCCAGTTGGAAAGGAAGCCACACCTTCCAATGCTGCATATCCACAAACTCGAGAATCTCTAACAGCGGAAAAGCCAAGACACACTCGCCATAAAACTCATGACCAACACTTTCCACTGCATTCATTCCTCTAATATAAAGCTCTTTGAGATGAGGCAATTGTCCGAGAGGTGGCAACGATAAACAATTGTTACATTCCTCTAAGCGCACAAGCACCATATTAGAGAAGAAAGAACCTCCAACCCATGATGAAAATTCCTTGCCGGCGTACCTCTTGATGGTGAGCTCCTTGATCTTTGTATGAGGCTGCAACATGTCAAGCACAGCGGATTCTGTTTCTCTCGTGCCCCTTGAACGAGACCATTCTAGGACCAACGAATCAAGCCTCTCCTTGCATTTCAAGTTGGCCGTCCTGGCATCCTCGACATCAGTCACATTCTCCAATCTTGAGAGGCACAATGTCCCTCGGAGATGCAATAGGGGCCCTATCTCTCTTATCCCTGACTGATCACTACCTTCGCTCGCCACAAAAAGAGGCAGTGATTGTAGATTCGTCAATTGACCTAGTTGCAAAGGCATTCCTTCCAACGAATATGCACCTGAGTTGTTGAGATGGCGCAACTTAATTAGATTGCTCAAGTCCGCATGCAATGAGTTCAATTCATGACAACCTTCCAAAATCAATGTTTGCAAGTAGTAAAGAGTGCTTATTGATTTGGGCAAACTGGTTATCAATGTGTAGGATAGGTCAAGATACTGTAACAACCTCAAATCACCGATTGACTTCGGCAGCTCAGTTATTTTGTAGCCATTGAAAGAGAGCACCCGCAAGTACTGCAATTTTGGCAATAAATCAAAGGTAACCTGACGAGACAAATTACGGCCCCAACTGGAATCTGAGAGTGAAAGTGGCAGGAATGTTCGCAAACGTTCAGCTTTTGGAAAGTCCTCAAATCTCATAACTCCATCAAATTGACCAGCAATGAAAGACGAATGGCGAGCCCTTCGAAAGCCAGTGCTTTGCAAGTTATCACCTTGCTTATCTTCCAATCTAAAACATATTTCACCTGCTGCCCATCGTGCTAAATCATTAACGAGGTCATGCATTACATATCGTGAATTGTTTTTGCTTGATTCTTGAAACAGCGACCTTGCTAATAGCTCTCGAAAGTAGTCGCGGCCCAAATCCTCCATTTGTTTATTGTCGTCATGTTTTTGTTGAATCAAATCCTCTGCCATCCACAAAAGGACGAGCTGCTTCTCCCCAAATTCATAGTCATTTGGAAGTATTGAGCAATAGGCAAAACACCTCTTCAAATGTGATGGAAGATAGTGATAGCTCAACTTTAGTACAGGAAGAAGGCCACTCTTATCTGCTAGATTCCATAATTTGTTGTCCAATATTTCTCCCCACTCTTCTTTTTCTTGGCGACGTAAAAGACCACCGAGAGTTCTTGCAGCTAATGGTAATCCACAACATTTTCCAACAATTTTCGTCCGAATTACCTCATAATTTACTGGTTTTCCGTTATTAATTTCCCCGAACGCGTGTCGCTCAAATATTTCCATACAATCATCATCTGCCATACACTCCAAATTATGAACTCCAGCGGCTCCCGTAATCTTTGCAACATTCCTGTCACGGGTTGTCACAATTATCTTACTTCCTCCTGCTCCGACGCCAAAAGGGGATTGAAGTCTTGTCCAGAGATCGTATAGATCATAGTCATCTTTGTCCCAGATATCATCTAAAACAATTAAAAACTTTTTTCCTCTTAATTGCTCACTCAAATCATGCTGCATTTTACTAAACTCCTCCACTTGAACGGGTCGGGATGTGATTGATTCAAGAATTGCCTTTGTCACTCGCACCACATCGAAGTCATCGGACACAGATACCCAGACCTTGAGCTCAAAATCCTTCATGGCATCATCTTTGTTGTTGAATACAAGTTGAGCAAGTGTCGTCTTCCCAACTCCGGCCATGCCAACTATAGCAACTACACCAAAATTGACAGCACCTGCATGCTCGTATTTTCTTGACAACAATTCAATAATCTTCCCTTTGTCACCATCTCTTCCAACAAGAAGCTTTTCATCTAACACGTCTGAACTTGGTAGACTTCGCGATTCCTTAGCAGACGTCCCAGTATCTTTCAAGCCAAACTTGTCTTTCCGTTCAGATATGTCTTGCAACCGCTTCGTAATCTTCTTCATTTCGGAGTTCATATCAAAACTCAATTTAACTTTATAAAATGATCTCCGTATCTTCCTGCTTGGGCTGGCTTGATCACGTCCCTCTATCATGCGCTTCAACATTTGAGTGGCAAATTTGTCCAACATGTCTTCGATATCATAAGCCAGGTCTCTGAGATCATCCAGCCACAGTTTCACACCACCTTCAGTCAGTTGCCTTTCCTCAGCGTCGCTCAGCACCGCTCCAATTGTAGACAACGTGGTCCTCCACTTCTCCAGCTTCTGTCCGACGCCCCGGAAATTGCCCAAGTACTCAAGAATCTCGCGAGGGGTCAACCTGTCGAGCAGCAACTGTAGAAACGCCGCAAGAAAAACCTCTCCGAGTGCCATGTTAAGAGCGAGGATTACTCCGAGCAATCAACGAAAGACCGAACCGCTTTTGAGCAATATTGAGGTGCAGAACTGTACAAATTAAGTGAACAAACAAATGAATAAAAAGTGGTTCAAATAAAATGAAAAACAACTAATGTATTATTCAAATAAATAATAAGAACTTACATGGAAGTTCAAATCTAACTTTGCTTGTGATCAACAAATACAGACTCAACGAAGGGAAGATCAACGGTCAAAGACTTGTTCCTTGGAAATTTGGAAGCTTGACCCGTTGAGACTCAGAAATACTCACAACTGCACAAATTAAAATGATGAGAACTAATTATTGATGCCTGTGCAATTATATACAAATTTATAGTAAAAGTGAAATAATCAATTAATGGACTCCTAGTAAGCATTTCTAGAGGTGACAATTAATGGACTCCAATAAAAAATAAAATAAAAAACTTGATATTGCATGTATAAAGCACAATAAAACACACCACATAATATTACTTACTAGGAAAATGTTAGGAAGATCACGTATTTTTGTTCATATTTATGTACCATCTGATGTGGCAAGTAAGATATACATGTCACGTCAATTTATTATATAAATATGTGATTTTTCTAGCACTACCCTTTAAATAATAAAGCACAATAAAACATACTATATACGATTGCAAAAATCATATATTAGTATACATTGTTTTTCTTAAATTTTAACATGTTGAACAAATAAACGGGCAGTTAGTTCTAAAGGGTTTAGGGTTTAGGGTTTAGAGAGTTGAGGAGTTTGGGCTTAAGGCCCGGCCCAAGTATTGGGCCAAGGGCCCGTGTGACTTGGCCCGAAGGCCTGTGTAGTTACAAGGGTTGGGTGTAGGTTGTAGCGGGCCAAAGGCCCGAAGTTGGGACACGGCCCGCAGGGCCTGGGTTTGTTTCTCGCCGGGAAAAGGAGGCCGGAGCTTCCTAGCTCCGGACGACGCCACCCTAGTCTACGATTTAAGTGCCAAAACGAAGGTAGAGGTGAGAGGAAGAGATTGGTACCTGTTTCACGACGAGTGGTGGCCGGGAAGTGGCCGGATTTTCGCTGGAGAGTCACGGGGTTTCGCCGGAGATCTCCTGGGTTTCTGGGCTTCACCGAGCTTCACTGAGACGGGGAAGAGGGAGGGGAGATCCTCGCGAGCGTGAGGGTGGTGGTGGTGTTGCCGGGGTGCCACTTTGGGTGTGCGTGGGTGTGTGCGGGTTCGATCGGGGAGAGAGTCCGAGAGAGAGAGAGAGAGAGAGAGAATCTGAAAAGTGATGGTTGAGGATTTAAGGGAAAATCTGAAAAGTGATCCGGATGGGGCAAATGGATGGGGACTAAAATGTAAACTTCACGAACTTTTTAGGGAAACAAAAGAAATTACGATAATTTGGGGGTGGGGTTTTACAAAAAGTGCACAAATTATGTAGCTGGTTATTGCTGCGATAATTAGATGTTGAAAGACCATAACGAAGTCTCCTTCTTTCTGCCCAAAAGGAAAGTTAGATTCCTCTTTACCTCTCTCTTTAATTTTCGTGGGGTCATATTGTTTTAGGAATATGTTATTCACACACCTTATTTTCCTTCTTATACAATCTTTGATAATTTTTGTTTGTTGATCTTCTTCAATTCATCCGATCCGACGACCGAAAAATTAAAAAAATGTGTGAGAAGTAAAATAAGGTGTGTGAATATCGCATCCCTTGTTTTATCATTTTGATTGCTTTCTTATCTCCTACGTCTTACACGGTTATATTTTTTTTTTTCATTTGGAGAAAATTGTGGTAATAGTTTCTCAACTTTAACCAAATTATAATAATGATCTTTTAATTAAAAATTCATAATTATTTGTCTCTTAACTCATTGAAATATGCAGCTATAATCTTTATTTTTTCATGGGGTCATGTTGTTTTATCTTTTTAATTGCGTTCTTATCTCCTTTGTCCCACACGGTTATACTTTTTCTTTTCCTTTATACGAACGATTTTGGGAGATGAGGAACCAAACACGCAACTCAGTGTGGAGGAGTGATTGCTCGTAGACAACTAAGTTGCATTTCCTTGCAACACCGATTATTTTATTTTGAAAGGGTGATTGGTTCAATTTTATAGGCCATTGTAGATAATCTTGAGACTCAAACACCCTGAGCCACACAACACAAAGAAGAAGAAAATGATCCTGCAAAAAGTTACCATGGATTATTGTTTACCATCTTGTAGTTATACTACTTAATTAGTCACAGAGCCATATTTAGATCAATTGAAGATGAAGAGCAAGTTTTATTAGCATATAATTAATGGACATCTGGCTATTAAAGAAAGGAAACAAGTCAAACAACATTGAGCAAGTAATTTTAGATTTATGTCCTGCCGTGTGAATTTGCTTTTTACTAGTAAGTTGCCCAGCAACTTGACTTTTTCACTACCCAAAAGCTGAAAATGCATGAACCCGAATATGCTAGGAAAGTACAAAAACTAAATTAACACGATGCACATGGAGAGAAACTTAAACACAAATTGTATTGTTAACCCATGGTGTTATGATGACACCCCTACATATGTCTAGTCATTCCCTAAATATGGTCATTACCTGCCGAGAACTCTACCGGATGATTTACAAAAGATACCATATTCGTCGTTGATATATTTGAAGGAGTTATACAATTTAGGATTTAGTAAAGGGGTGTGATATTTATACATTCATTTTCACTTCTCATATACTTTTTTAATTTTTGGCCGTCATATTAGATAAATTGAAGTAGATCAAATGACAGAATTTAATAAGTAGTATGTGAGAAGTAAAAAAAAAGTGTAAGAACTAAAAATAGATGTGTAAATGGTAAGTCCCTTTAGTAAAATAGGTAGTTTACATGGAATTAGGTGTTGACTTGAAGGACTGCAACAAGTCTTCCTCTTTCGACGACAACTACTTTAGAGCTCTTCAATTTGCCATGACGATTACGTGTTGAAAGACTATAACAAGCCTTATCTTTCTGCCCATAAAGAAAGAAAGATTCCTCTTTTTTTTCTCCCTCTTTTTATTTTTAGTGGGGTCATATTGTTTTCTTTTTTATTGCTTTCTTATTGACAATATCCTACACGGTTATATTTTAAGAAAACTAATAAAAATAATTTAAAATGGTTGAATTTTAACGATAAAGATAAAATAAAAAGCAAAATAAATAGTACTAGATTTGACTTTTTAGTGTAAAAATATGATTTTTCGTTAAAATGAACAGTACCACGGGTTTTTCGTTAAAACTCCCTTATACTTATTCATTTCCTTTATATGAACAATTTTGGGGGGAACTGAAACTTCGGCTGGAAGAGTGACTGCTGGTAAACTTATAACTTTTAAAGTAGATCCGTGTTTTTAGCCGTTGGATCAAATTTTAAGGATACGTATTATTTGATAAGGAGGATTAAGTGGAATGGATCCGGAGAGAACCCCTTCCTTTTTGTGAGGGTGTTTGGTTCAATGTTTTTGTAGGCCATTGAAGATAATATAGAGAATCAATTTAAAACAGTAAAAGATTTTGAAACAACCTGAGCCACATAACACAAAGAAGAAGAACATGATCCTGCCAACACCAGATTTACAAAAGTTATCATGGATTATGCTTTACCATTTTGGAGTTATACTACTTAATTAGTCACAGATCTATATTAATTTATGATCCATTTGAAGATGAACAGCAAGTATTATTAGCATATAATTAACGAACAACTCGATGACTAGGAAGGGAAACAAATCAAACAACATTGAGCAAGATTTTCATGAAGTGAAATTACTAGCTTATTATGACAATTTTGTAGGTTAAGAGAGACCAATTAAGCTTGGTAAATTGAATTAGTGACAATGAATTTTAAACTTACGTCTTCGCCGTGTCAATCTGCTACCAACTTGACATTTTCACTATCCAAAAATTGAAAATGCACGAACCAGAACATGCTAGGAAAATAGAAAAACAAAGTGAACGCGATGTATGTGGAGAGAAACTTAAACGCGAAATTTTATTGTTCACCCATGAAGTCATGATGGCGCCCCAACATGCGTCTAGTCATTCCTCAAATGAATGGTTTACAGAAGATAACAAAAAAGGAATTTGAGTTCTTGTAGTCTCTAGGTCATATTGAACCATTCTCCATTGGGAATGATTGGAATTTCTAGTCTACATTACCCATCAAAATCATGGTTATTTATCATAATGCAAAAATAGTAATGCTTCTCCCTTGGCTCATGTATGCGTTTATAACGCAGTACAAGGAGGTTAGTCGAAACCTCGTTATTAAGATTGATTGTAAGGGTTAGGTGGTTGCGAACAGTTGGCTGGTCGGAAAACGCGGCAATTATATAATTATTTTGAATTATAATAGTATTTATAAAATTATTTTAGTTGATTTTTTCATTGGTACCTAAACTGAAAATTATGTTACTTAAACTAATCGTTGTATTGAAATTGGTATTTATAAGATCCCAATTCCCAAACACTTAAACAGCCTGAGCCACACAACTTGTTCTGATACCTAAACTGAAAATTATGTTACTTAAACTAATAGTTTTTGGAAGATGAGGAACCAAACACGCAATTTAGGGTGGAAGGGTGATTGGTCGTAAACAACTGAGTTGCCTTTCTTGCAATACCGATTATATTATTTTGAGAAGGTGATTGGCTCAAATTTTTAGGCCATTGTAGATAATGTTGAGACTCTCAAACAGCCTGAGCCACACAATTTGTTCTGATACCATAAAAAAGATTGAAGTTTCACCATAAAAATAATTGACAATAGGGAAAGTACCTCAACTACTTATTATAAGAACATACAAAGTCTCTCATTTCATTAAATATGAGATTTATTCTTAACAAAAAAATGACTGCTTGCGCCACTTAGTACTACGATCTAGCGATATTTCTCTTCACTTAGAAGTAGAGATCTTAGGTTCGAATCTCGTGGATGACGAATTTGATATCAAATTAAACTACTCATTGTGTGGCTCAGCCAAACTTATTTTATTCCTTAATATAAAAAATATTGATGTACTAAAAAAATTAAAAAATATCGATATACTAAAAAAATAAAAAATATCTGCTTGTAAACAACTAAACCTACAATCCCCTGCAACACCGATCATATTACTTTGGGAGGGTGATTGTTTCAATTGTTTGTAGGCCGTAGCAGATAATGTAGAGACAATCAATTTAAAATTGTAAAAGACTCTGAAAAAACCTGAGCCACACAACACAAAGAAGAAGAAAATGATCCTACCGACACTTGGTTTACCAAAGTTACCGTGGATTATGCTTTGCCATCTTGTAGACTTGTAGTCATGCTACTTAATTAGTAACAGAGCTGTATTGGATTATGAACCATTTGAAGATGAAGAGCAAGTTTTATTAGCATATAATTAATGAGCATCCAAATGTTTAAGAAAGAAAACAAGTCAAACAACATTGAGCAATATTTTCATGAGGTGAAATTACTAGCTTATTGTGTTAATTTTGAAGATTAAGATAGACGACTTAAGCTTGGTGACTGAATTAGTGACAAGTAATTTTAGACTTATGTATTCGTCATGTGATTTTCTTTTTCACTAATAAGTCAATATTCAAAAGCTAAAAATGCACGAAAAAGAACATGCTAGAAAGGTAGAAAAAACTAAGTTAACGTGATGTATGTGCAGAGAAACTTAAATCTGAAATTGTATTCTTAGCCACGATGTCATGATTGACCCATTCTCCCTTGGGAATGATTGGAAATTCTAGTCTGCAATATTCATAAAAAATCATGGTTATTTATCAGAATGCAAATAGTAATGCTCCTCCCTTTGGCTCATGTATGCGAACACAATGGAGTACAAGGAGGTTAGTGGAAATCTGGTTATTAAGATTGATTGTACGGGTAAGGTCGTTGGGAATACAGTTGCCCGGTCGAAAAAAAATGGCAATCGTATAATTATTTTGAATTCTATATAGTAATATTTGTAGATTTATTTTGGTTAACTTTTTCATTAGTATGTAAACTAAAAATCTTGTTACTTACACTGAAAGTTTTATTGGAATTGGTATTTAAAAGACCTCAAAACCTTCGTTTTTTTTAGTACTCTTTAATAAAAGGGGAAATAATAGTTTATTGCCATATCGATCATAAAAAGAAAAAAAAAAAAAGACGAAGCAATAGGTTAATATAGATTATTTTATCGTTCGTAAAAAAAATAAATAAATAAATTAGTTTGCCATTATTTTAACGAGGATAATGCTAGGGAGACCAAGTTATTCAAGTATTAATTAAAGTACTT